GGACTTGGAAAAACAATTCAAACGATTTCTTTTCTTGCACACTTAAAGGGAAATGGTTTAGATGGGCCTTATCTTGTCATTGCCCCTCTCAGTACTCTCTCCAATTGGTTGAATGAAATTAATAGGTAATTGACACATTTCTCGTTCTTTTAAAGTACTTCTTGCACTCCCTTTTAAAGTTATCTGCTTCATATCTTAATTTGTTTTTTTTTTTAAAATTAATATCAAGGTTCACACCATCAATAAATGCAATCATCTACCATGGTGACAAGAAGGAAAGAGACACTATAAGAAGGAAGCACATGCCAAAGGCAATTGGTCCCGAATTCCCAGTTGTAATCACATCTTTTGAAGTTGCAATGGCTGATGCAAGAAAGTATCTGCGGCATTATACATGGAAATATCTTGTGGTTGATGAGGTTGCAAAAAGTAAATTTTTTTATGATGTCTAGTAACATGTGTATTATGAGCTTAAAGTTTTCCTTCTTGTTTTAGGGGCATAGACTGAAAAATGCAAAATGCAAATTGTTGAAGGAATTGAAACTCTTACCTGTAGAGAATAAGCTCCTCTTGACGGGAACACCTCTCCAGAACAACTTGGCAGAACTTTGGTCCCTTTTGAATTTTATTCTACCAGATATTTTCTCATCCCATGAAGAATTTGAGGCATGGTAATAAACTAATATGTATATTGCAGTCTTGTATTAAAGTTAGTATATGTCCATATTTCTAACATGAATTTCTATCTTATTAACCTAGTTGCATATGTACACTTTTTCTTCTTGACCTCACAATGCGTTGCAATCATTGGAATGCAGTTATCTAGTTTTTCCCTCTTTTGTGCAGCACATTTTAAATTTCCTGATACGGTACCCTTCTCTGTGTCTTACATTCCATCTTATTGTTTAAACACAACTGACTTTCATACTTGACTATGTAGGTTTGATTTCTGCGGAAAGGCAAATAGTGAAGATTCAACAGAGAATTTGGTAGAGATGAGAAAAGCTCAAGTATGCTTAGAATACATTATACTTGTCTTCCTATGCAAAGCTGAAATTATTCCCTTCAAAAGGTGACATTTGAGTAATTCAGGTGGTGGCAAAACTCCATGCAATATTGCGCCCTTTTCTTCTTCGAAGAATTAAGGCAGATGTAGAGCAAATGCTCCCACGTAAGAAAGAAATAATTTTATATGCCACAATGACTGAGCACCAGAAGAATTTCCAAGAGCATCTCATTAATAAGACACTGGAAGGCCATCTTATTGAGAATGTGGTAAATGGTAATGTTAACAGTTTTATGTTGCTGGGAATGCTTGGTTACACAGCATAGCATCAAATAGCTCTTTTATGGCAGCTTATTATTTACGTAGTATTTGATTTTTGCATGAAGGACCTTCAATTATATTTTGCTATAACATGGTAGTGTATATGCAGGAATGCGTGCTGGTTTCAGAGGAAAACTCAACAATCTCATGATTCAACTTAGGAAGAATTGCAACCACCCTGACCTCTTAGAGTCTCAATTTGATGATTCTTGTACGTTAATTTCAATTTATGGTACATATACCTCAGAACTCAACAGGTGTTTGCCAATCTTAATCTTTACTTTTTCTGGGGTTAGTCTTCTTCCCACCTGTGGAGCAAATAGTTGGGCAGTGTGGAAAGTTTCAGTTACTTGATAAAGTGGTTGGAAAATTGCTGGATCGAAAACACAAGGTACGAACTGCTAAAATGTGTACAAATTGTTCACTGCTGATGTGCTTCTTCAATTGTCTTGTTTTTTAGCTTAGAATTCTTATTCTCTTTCCTTCTAACTCTCTCTTAATCATTGCTGACACACCAGGTTCTGATCTTTTCTCAGTGGACTAGAATGTTAGACATAATTGAGTACTATTTTAGTCAAAAGAGTCTTGAAGTCTGCAGAATTGATGGCTCTGTTAAGTTGGATGAAAGAAGAAGACAGGTATATTACATAACATTGTCTATTTTTAATACAAGTGTTTTTTCAAAGATTTTATAGTACTAGTTTGTTTGGGGTATTCTGTTTTCAATGTGGACTTTTGTTCACCAGATTCAAGAGTTCAATGATGTGGACAGCCAGTATAGGATATTTCTTCTTAGTACTAGAGCTGGCGGGTTAGGGATTAATCTTACATCTGCTGACACCTGCATTTTGTATGACAGTGATTGGGTACTTCTTCTATCTTGTTCCTCACCCTTCTTTTTCTCTTTTGACTGGCTGGATTTTTTTTGCTATTACTATTTCTATCCATCCACATTGAAGTCTAGCCCTGGCACACTGGTTGAGGTCTTGCCTTTTTTTCTTCCAGAACCCACAGATGGATCTACAGGCAATGGATCGATGCCACAGGATTGGTCAGACAAAACCTGTTCATGTGTACAGGCTTGCTACAGCACAATCTGTTGAGGTAAGTCACTGGAAGCCTGTGCTTTTTCACGAAGTGTATGTTGTCTTGTTCTCTGCACACCGAGGACTTAAATCTTGCAACTTTGTGTGTGCTCTATTAGGGCCGGATTCTGAAAAGAGCTTTTAGTAAGTTAAAGCTTGAGCAATTGGTGATCGAGAAAGGCCAATTCCAGCAGGAGCGAAGCAACACAAATGCCAATGATATCTTGAAGGTTTGTATCACTGATCTGAAGTTGGGCCATTGCACTCTTTCATTTTTTGAAATCCTTCCTCTTAAGAGTGTTCTCAAAAAGTAGGGATTCCTTTAGGACGTGGTTGTGTTGGGGATGTAGATTTCTTAGGCCTATATTCTAAGGGTAATTAATGTCATCAATTTGCAGCAAGAGGACCTGTTGGCTCTTCTCCGGGAGGAAGAAAGTGCAGAAGATAAGTTGGTGCAGACCGATTTAAGTGATGAAGACCTGGAAAGAGTGATGGACCGCAGCGACTTACTTGCCCTTCATTCCCAAGATGCCAAAGCCAATTCTCAGGCATGTTCAAATGCCATTCCTCTGAAAGGACCTGGCTGGGAGGTTGTTATCCCCACCGCGACCGGTGGCATGCTATCTTCCCTGAACGAATGACTTTCTGGTGGTTCTTATGTACTCATCATCTTTCATGGTTTGTAGTATGTTGTACTACTAGTTTTTGTCAGAGCTCCCCAAACCGAATACAGATTGAAATTGACATGTTTTCCTCAGTTTTTATTTGCTGAGAGGATTCATGCGATGGGGGGAACCTGATTAGCTTTTTTTGTTTGTTTTTTTGTAAATTGAATGTTGAGCACTGACAGTGCAAATTTGAATGGCAGTGACATTTTATGCCCCCTTTCTATTTGTATTTTGAAAACTATTCCACAAATAATCATTTTCACCAAATGTAACAAAATATTTCACATGTCACATTTTATATGATTAGTTATTAAAAACTTTTTGCCAAAGCAAGAAGAGAACTGAAAGAAATTAATGATGGAAGAGGGAGTATTTGGCTACCACAAACTTTTAATACCAGTAATAGAATGAAAAGTGGGAGTATGAAAAGGAAACCATACGCCAGTCCAAAAGATAGAGGTGATGGAATTTATTAGAAAGAAAAAGTTCCGTTGCCGGGAATCGAACCCGGATCTCCTGGGTGAAAGCCAGATATCCTAACCGTTGGACTACAACGGAATGGTGCTTCTTCCATTTTTTTTCTATAGCTAGAAGCCTAGAAAGAGCTGGACCAATTAGACGATTACATCTTTAGTTAGTACGGAGTACTAACTTTGTCCCAAATCTATAAATTTTATATTTTAATTCCTTACCAATTTTTAAATAATTTGAATTCAAAATAATTTTAATCAAATCTCATTAACAAAAGATGACTCTTTTTAGAATGAAGAAGATACTATCTACAAGATCAAAGTTTATTCACTCTTTTTCTTATTTTTGGTATAGTGGTTTGCTCCCAACATTGGAACAACGGGTTTCAATGTGCAATCCCCATCCACCTTTATATTTTGGTTCCCATTTCTATCATCTCCTATGCGGGAGTTGGTTTGCTCCCAACAATGAGCTCAAACAAGATTTGAGTTAGAAATGTTTTGTACGGAGTAGTAAGATTATCTTTAATTGTTACTTCCTACGTCCAGGTTGAAGTTTTTCATTTTAACTTGGCATGAGTTCTAATATAATGTGATAATTAATTTGGCCTTACAATTTTACCTTTCCCTCAATTCCCCCCACCTTTAATTTGTCCTTCACACACCCCCTTCCCCACAAATTTCTTCTTGAAATAGTTTCCACATTTGTTCTTTGTTTACCTCCTCCACCCCTTCTAAAATCTTGTCGCCAGTGCTCAATCTGAAAGATGGACGGACAAGCATTAATCTTGTCAATGACGCTTGATCTGAAAGACGTTCGAGCGTGAGCGCGAGTGTTCGTGAAGTAATATGTCATTTGTAAAGATTGACTGTGAATATTGTGTAGTTGTTTTGACACTTAATAATGTAAGTGAGTCATTATGCATATGAAACTGAAGTATTTATTCTTGAGTGTCTTTGATGCAAATGTAGCGATGTGGTTACTTTATTCTAAATAAACATCTTTTAACTACAAATATGTTCTATGGCAACTTAATTTGAGTGGCCACTCAAAGTGAGTAGCCCTGGAACCAGACCGTTTTAACCATTGTAAGTGTTTTCATTTTTGGAATCGGGTTAGTGGTAACCTGAAATCGAGTTCCTCCCCTGCCAACGTGAATCCATTTTTGTTCATAATTATGTTTTTACGAGGAATAATAAAAGTAAATTGTTAATGGACCCTTGTTGATAATTAAACCTTGCTGATAATGAATAATCTCTTTTTCAGGAGAATAATCTCTTTTTTTAGGAAAATAATCTCCTTATTGATAATTAAACCTTGTTGAATTATTTGAATGGTTACAATGAATAATCTCCTTGTTGATAAATTGTTATTTGGATGGCGTGCCATATATCAAAACGTTCGTGTCACTTGGGAGAACACGCACCCGTTGATTAACGAACAAAATCATTAGTAGACCCTTGTTGATTGGCTATTCAAATGCCAATCTAACCCATTTTTCCCAACATCTACAAAGTGAAGTTCTAATTCACCTTTGGAAGAGAAATGAACTTGACTTGGTGCCAAACTTGCATCAGAGGAAGCTAACACCCCTGGGATTGCATATGCATCCTTCATCATTCACCACAACATCACAAAAGACAGTACAAGATTATACGTCTATTATACAAACCAAAACAAAAAAAACTGAATGCCACATTGGAATCAAAGCAACAATTAAGCTTTGGAATCAAAGTTTTTTGATGTGAATGTTGCTCAATGGCACAAGGCATTCAAAATAACCAAAAACATCATGATTGTCGCCGTACCTATCAGAATCAAAGACCACAAAATCGTCGGAAGCAAGATTAAACAAATACATACCGGCTTTCATCTCATCACTCCTTTTCTCTTCTTCTCCGGGTTCATCTTCGCAAGTTTGAATCGCGAAAACATCGCAGACGATCTGATTCCTCCAGATCGTCAATGGGTGTAAATAGCATGGATAAGGGCCACGGGTAAACTTCTTAGACCAACTCAAACTCGCATCACAACCGCCCCCAATGCCCTCGTCACAAATCACCCACAAATCAATGAAAGTGTGTCTTGAGTCGACAGCATTGGAGCAATAGTAATAGAGTATGGCAAGCCTGTCCTCGTACACAGCCAGCTTAGCACCTATATTCCTTGATAAAGGAGGTGGTGCAATCAACTTGAACTCTTCCATTGCCAGGTCAAAAGAAACTATGAAATAAGCATCATCTCCCCCATCAAATGCCAAGCCTCTCTTCACTGTGACCCAGAAGATGGATCCATTAACGCAGACACAATCACTGAGAAAGCTTATAGCCTCCAACGCCGTGAATTCTACCCCCTTCCACGAATTCGTGCTCAACGAATAAACTTCAACTCCACTAACAACATCACCAGTTTCTGCATAAGTGGTCACTATCTTGTAATCGTTAACGATTGGACTGAAGGCGAATCCCAGAACACAATCGAATCGAAAATCATTGATTGTTCTACTTCTAGGCACCTGTTTAACCTCTCTAATTGCAGGATTCCAGAGTAGAATCGTAGGAGGGAAGACACCGCGCAGATCGATCTGGACGCAGAGCAATCCGTTGCTGGAGCCGACGATCCTGGCGGACCTGAAGGAGTCGATCGAAGGTCCGATGTGAACATCGCGGAGATGCAAGTCGCGATCGAGCAAGTACAGATTCAGGGAATCGCCGACGAGATTCCGCTGGAAGACGAGGGAAGGGTTTTGACGGCGGGAGTGGCCGAGGTGTTCGGAGATGAAGGAAGGCGTGTTGATGAGATTCTTCCAGAGACTGCAAACGCTTCGAAACCGGATCAAGGATTTCACAGGGAGTCGCTTGAGAATGTCGAAGACGATTTCCTCCGAGAGGAATGGAATGCCGCAATCGATCTCCACTAGCTTCATAGTGCTCGATGGCGCCGGCGACCCAAAACTCTCCGGGAAAGCCCTTCTCTTTTCATTTTCCATTTGCCTAATCAATATGTTCAGTCATTCAAAATTTGAAGTCTTTAGTCATAGCAATTTTGGTACACAAAATTCAAATTATTAAATTGGAATGGAAGATAAAACTAATTTCGCTGTTTGATATCACAAATATATGTGCATTTAGAATTGATAGTATAAAAAATGTTTTGGAATGAGAGAATTCAATTCCATAGAATTTCAATTCTCAAATCAAATGGATCTCATTGAAATGAGTTCTAATCTGATTTGATTGAAATAAGTTTTGATCCGATTAAAATATAGTTATACTTAAAGCTATTTTTGATATGATCTGATTCCAATAAGAATAAGTATCGGTTTTGGTTTCAGTTCTGTTAACCGAAACCGACCGAATAACCGAATCCATAATATGTTTATTAAATACATGTAAGCCCAACCCAAAAATCTAAAGTTACAGCCCAGTCCATTAGTCTAAAATCCTAAAGTGGGCTGGTCACTATTCATTACCTCCGTCATTAGTCTCCCAAGTAGTCCCAACCCAAATGTTGTTTTACGGAGTAAGTTACAACCTCAACTCCATCGCCTCCGGCCTGGACTCCTTTCCTTAGATCGTCCGCCGCCCGTCTCCTTCCTCAAAACCTCGTCGCCGGCACCTTTTCCGTCGGTGGTAAACTCCTGAGCAGATTGCATGGTTTTCGATATTGTGTGGGTGTATGTGTCCGCCAATCATCCACCATCTCGATTCTGATTCTCGCTTGACCATTTTGCCTTTTCAAGGATTTCATCAGGTATGTATCTCAGAATATATGTACTCCGTGTTCTAACTGTTTATCTTCTTCTCGTTGGGATAAGATAATATGCTTCTATTCTTGCAGTAGGTTTTAGGGATGATGAAGCTTTTCGATTTTGTTTTCCTCGGTTCGGTTTGCTCGGTTTAAACACTAATTCAGTTCGGTTTCGGTCGGTTATTGTGAGTAATGAATCGAAACTCTGAAATTATGTCAGCATCATGTTTGAGCACGAAATCTACAGGGCCGGCCCTATTCCATGAATTTAAGGAGCCCAATGTTTTTAAATATTTTATACTCCGTATATGTATATAAGAAGCCCATAGCCCAATATGCCAAGGCCGTCTCTTTTAGTCACCATCCTTCTTACCCGTACACAAAGAAGAAAAAATAACGCAGGTAGGGAGGCCGACTGAACAAAATAGCCAAATCGGAAAACTGCCGGTAGAGAGACGCCGCCGCCGCCGCCGCCGCCAGAGTCCAGACCCCGCCGGGAGCCGACCCTCCAGCCTCCAGGTTTTCCGTATTCATAGATTTCCAATTTTGTAATTTTTTTCTTTCATTTTTTTCATTCTTAAGATTTAAAATCTAGGGTTAATTATTGAACTTTAATTAGAAATCTTTGCTAATTGCTATGAAATAGGATGAATTAATGGTTCTATATGTTCTTTATTTGATTTGGATGAATTGAATTCATGATATACTTATAATTTTATTTATGAAAAACTGAAAACTAAAAAAAAAAATTTAAAACTGAAAAGTTGATATGAATTTATGATATATAAAAAAATTAAAACTGAAAAACAAAAAATATAAAAATTGACGAATTGATATGAATTTATGATATATTAATTTACTTTTTTCTTCTAATAATATTGCGTTAATTATTATTCAAATATAATTAGTTTACATATATTAATTTGTTAGACCATAAGGGATAAGACTTTTAAGGTCTTTATTCTGTTTCGGCCCAGGCCCATGAATTCTCGGGACCGGCCTTGGAAATCTATATTTGTGCGTTCTATGAATTTTGAAGATGCGAGGGACTAATTTCCTAGGGTTGTTTGACTGGATGGAGAAATGTTCAAATCAGCCTTTGAAAGTCTGAAATAGAACTTGAATTGATCTATTTGATTGGGTAGAGTTTGTTTTTTAGCTCTCCTATTTCCCATTGCAGAAGCTTGCTATGCATGCTTTCATCAATCTTCTTCTTTTTTCTTTAAGGTTGAAAAAACATGGCCACATTGAAGGAGATCATAACTCGGCGTCCCTTAGCAGCGACGATCCGACTAAGGGTTGATGCTGGCGCGGCAAAACCAGGGCCACCAGTGGGTCCGGCCTTGGGTCAATACAAGCTGAACTCCATGGCTTTCTGCAAGGACTTCAATGCCCGGACGCAGAATTACAAGCCAGGAACGCCAATGTCTGTCACCATTTCGGCCTTCAAGGATGGAACATTCGAATTCACCGTGAAGTCACCTTCGGTCATGTGGTACCTGAAGAAGGCGGCTGGGGTGGAGAGCGGCAGCAGCCGTCCTGGCCATGTCACCGCCTCAACCATAACCCTAAAGCATGTGTATGAGATCGCGAAGATCAAGCAGAGCGACCCTTATTGCCAGTACATGTCTCTGGAGTCCATTTCTAAGTCCATTATTGGCACTGCCAACTCGATGGGGATTAAGGTGCAGAGAGAACTGGACTAAGGCGCGTTTGGTAAGGTTTATTTTTTTACTGAAATGATGCGATGTCTTTGTTTTTTGGGGAATCAAACGAGTGTTTTTTTCAATATACATTACTTCTTCCATGGTGCTGTCTAATTGAGTGTTTTGAATCATTAGCATTGTTGTCCTTATTGTTCACAAGCTCTCCAGCTTTGTGACCTTGTGGGATTTTTGTGGTTTCATTTTTTGCCCTTTTATGTGCTCTAAAATTTGGATAAAATCAAATTGAATTTGGATCACACATAAGTAAAATAGTAATTAAGATAGTGAGATGAACAAAACTGGTCTGTTAAGTAAAGTTGTCTCGGTCTGTAATTGGTGTGTGTGCTGTTCTTTAATATCTAAATTTACATGTAACATGTTATAGAAAATATTGCATTTCAAACAAAATAATTGTAATGTTGTTATATTTAAATTATAAATGAATGTTTTTTTCTGATTATTATGGTCGAATTGAAACTGTATAACTCTATTTGCACACAAGGATTTAGTTGATGTATTAGATGGGGTAAAATTTGTTAGTACAAAATTTGTAGTAACCATTGAAATATCAAGAAATGCAAATTGAAGTGTTTTTAACAATTGAGTGATCAAAAAATATACGTAGTAAATGGTTTTCTTGTTGTCGCTTATAGCTGCACAAAATTGTCAAATGGATACAATTTTCTCCTGACGATTAGTTATAGGGGTACAATGTCAAGAATTAAGGATAATCTCTGAAAATAAACGGTTGAAGATCGTATGGGATTTGCACAACGGCCTCAAATACAGTATCAAGAAGTATCGCTTGTGGTACCTCAATATTCACGGGCTTATTCGCCAAATGGCAATTAGCACATACAATACGACCAGTAGTTTCTCTTGGATTTTCATAATCCTGTTGTGCAAAAAGGGGATAGATACTTGAAATTGATGTCCGAATTAGGATAACCATCATGATTAAATATCCATATCTATATTCAATGCACAAATCACAATGAGCTGTCTAAAATTTTGGTCATTAGGACTAAAACATGTTATAATATATCAAAATATGACTTTTTACATATCGGTACAAACGGTATCAAAATACATTTCATCGTGTCAAAAAGTGCCAATTTTTAATAATAAAAAACACTCTAAAATGTCACTTGCCAATACAATGCCAAGTTGTGATGTTGTATACTATGTACAATATCAACATATTCATATTTATAGGATAAAAAATTAGAAGTCATTTACACCAGAAGCACAATGTCATTTGGAAGGTGTAAAGGTATTCACCACATTTATGTGTTGTTTTTTTGTGGGAACAATTAACAAATGAATCAGAGTTCAAAAAACTCACCATCCTTGAACAGGCCATCTCCGGTGGGGATCCGGGAGCCAAGACGACGGCTGCCCTTTTTCCTTCTTCGTCTTCTTCTGCCGCACCACCGCATCGTCTGCAGTCTCCACCCCGATGGAGCCGCCGCCGCCGCCGCATCCCATGTAATTGCGGGAGAAGACTTCCATCAGGAAGGTCAACGCCCTGTTCTTCTTCATCTCCCCGATCTTCTCATGTCGGCCGCAGCTCCGCGACCGGGAAATCCGGCCGTACGCGGCCGCCCTTTCCGCCCCATCGGACGCCGCAAGTTCCGACGCCAGCAGAAGCGATCCGTTCCTCCTTCCTCTCCGCCGTGACGCCACAGATGCCGTCTCCGCCTTCATATTTCCGCAACAGATCGCGTCCATCTAACCTCAGTCTTCCTTCACTTTCCCGCTATCTTGTTCTCCTCCGACCTCCGTATACATCATTTCCACTTAATCCCTCTTTTTATTTTATCTTTCCAGAAAAGAATTAAGTTTAAAGAATTAATACAATTTTTTTATTGAATTAATATTTTTTGCCAATATAAAATATTAAAATTTGATTTTCACTTGACATATTCCTAAGATGATTGTTGAGAAAATCACCCAAAATGAGACTCAAACTTTTAGGAATTTGCGCGGATTGGACTTGTTTGCTTTTTCACCCGTTTCATATTATTCTTGTACTCTCGTATTCCTCAATTTTCCTATTACACTTTTACTTGTACTTCATTCACTGCTTAATTTCTTGGATAAAGCTACTTGTATCCCAACTTTTTATATCCAATTTGTACACTGCAGCTTTGCACCAACATTTTGTGTTGTTGTAAAATTAATTTTTGTTAACACACCAACACTTTGTGTTCGTGTAAATTTTTGTTAACGCACCAACACTTGTGTCAATATAAACTATCAAAATGTTTGTGTATAACTGTGATGTACAAATGGAGTACAATAGTGGCAAGAACCTTCATTCCAATTATATAGACATTGTTGATGTGTACTTTACTCCTTAGTATTAATATCGGTATTGGGGTTATGATTAGAAATAGAATTAGAATTAGGATTTAGATTAGGCATATTATCTTGGCGAAATGAACTATATTTCACATTAGCTTCTAAATCCAATAACTTTTGCGAAAAGATCTTAGAATTAGACGTAGACTTTGGATGCATGAAAAAGGAATGCTATGGGTACACCATTTGGTGTACCCCATTTGTACACCAACAATCATAGCCTTAGATTTCCCTTAATATTTTTATTTTTTTTCTTTTCTTGCTTTTGTGTGGTGGAGATGGAGGGTGGTACAAATGGGGTACAAGAATTGGTGTGCCCTTAGCATTTTTGTGCATGAAATTCCACTTTGGATACCATAATTGTTTGCTACGCATTTGGTAAGTGACGGATATCTTTGTTTCACATTCAACATAGAGCCTATTTGAGAATAACATTAGAGTCTAGGTGATAGCCGAAGCGGATCTGAACAGGGTTCGGATTAGAAATCTTTTTCCTTCCTTTGAGTACTCACTCCATCTGATGCCGGAGCCCTTATGGATGAGATTAAGGCCTTTGTTTTACAATGCATACTTTGTTTAAAAGGACACGGATGTTGTACAGAAATGTCACGTAACTTAATGTCTCATTAACGAATGTGGAAATGAAGTTATGGCGTCCATGTAAAACTCGCGAGAAGTTTAATGGGTCTCATATGACTTTATTTATACATTCGATGTGGGTACATGTAAGTGCGCAGCGTGAACACTTTTTAGAAGACCCCAAAGCAATCAAGAAATAATAAAAGTGGGGAAAACATCACTTGAAAAAAAAGGGAATGGATGTCTAAACAATGCCTTGCCAGACCATGCTGCAGTTCTAGCCTGGTTCCATGGCTACCGTAAATATACCAATTTCTTTCAACTACATAAGCCTCAACCCAATGTTTTCTGAAATGCAAACACGGCTTATTGATACTTACAGAAGGGATATGCAGGCCGATATACATCTTCATATTGATATATTGTCTTAGGCAGTGAAGAGTACAAACAAATTTAGATGTCATTTGAGTAGAGGCATTCATCCACAAGTTGGCGAAGGTTTGGGTTCTCCAGTGCAGCAGCAATTCTTTCCTTATCATTTAGCTGCTTATTTACTGGATCATATAATTCACAAAACAATAACATTGTTAAATACTACTCCATCCCCCCCCCCCCCAATTCACCCACCCATCCACCCTACACACACAAAAAAGAAAAACAAGAAATGTTCCATTATGCCTAAAAAATAGTCGTATTTGATTAAACGGAGCTAATACTTCATGTACTTTTCTGTTAAATGCGATAAACATGGGTATACTAACACCAATTTTAAAAATATATGTGTGAGATTACACAGTTTTTAAGAATTGTCCGTTGCAAAAATCTCAAATATGTATTGGGTATTTGACAAAGAAGTGGACTAAGATAGTGGTTGGTTAGGGTGAGTGGCCCAACCGTCAACGTCCCTAGCACGGGTGTAATTCAAAAGTTCTCATTCTAAAAATTACTGCAAGCATTTGACATTTATTATAGTCCTTAGGAAGTCTTTTTTTTTTATTTGTCAATGTTGTTAAAGTCCATAGTTCATTTTGTCTGATTTTTACAATAGTGCCCCAAATTAGATAGGTCTTATAACAACCATTCAAATTCACCTGATTCTTCATCAGCATGAGACCCGGGAGCCACTTTTATATCTACCTGTGAGTAAAAAAATTAAAAGAGAAACTAAAGATGGAGAACCTGAAAATAGAAGCTTGTCTGGCGTATGTGGGAAGTTAATAACACAACCTTGTAATGAGGAGGGAAATAATTCTTCAGCTTCTCTCTCAAGCACAATCCGATTACAGTTGCCATAGTGCAATGCTGGATAGTTGGCGTGAATGTTATCCTACAAATAAAGAACAGAATTAGACAACAATAAGAGCTTAAACTGCAATCAAATGATTTGTTTCTTACATTTGGTAACAAATGGGGTTTTCCAACATTCAGTCACACACTCATACTAACCAAAGAGGCACGCCCATTAACAACTATTCTAGAAATCCCTGCCTAAGAGCTAAAACTCCCTGACGCTTCTTCTTCTAGGGTCTAGGGAGAGTTTGGATACGCAACTACGTATACCTTACTGAGTTACTCCTACTTGGAAGTAGAGAGACAGGTTCAAAGAGAGCTCCGACTCAACATAATAACACACAAACAAAGTAAGAGCACGGACACAAGAAGCACAAATACCAACTCTATCACTAGACCGAAAGCACAGAAATGACATTTTGCTTGAGGGGATGGCCGATTCAAAGAGGCAATGTCATGAGTCAAGAGCGATATGCATAAACAACTCCAGTATTTCTACTCCGTAATTAAATCAACCACAATATATCTAGAATGGCATCATTGCATAACATAATTAACTCACTTGTAAGCTCTAATGAACTAGAAGCAACATTCTTAATAATTTCGAAATTTGCAGTCCATGAGAACAATATGTGAATAAAAACAGATGATACTACAAAGCAGAACAGCAAATATTGCAGAAAAAAGGCATAGCCGGGCTCAAAACCAGTGTCCGTTGAATACCAATCAAGGGAGAAATGGTATGGACTCACAGAATGCGTCCGAGTTTATCATCAAATGTAATTGACTCCTCAGAGAGGACGCTGAGCTGCTCTAGGGAATAGGGATGCTCCGGATCTCTTATATCCCTAACGAAATGTGGCCATTATCAAGGTCAAGGAATCTCAGTTCATGCGTTTCAATTCAATCGCAGTTGTTAATTATCTAAACGAAACAATACAAAAAGAGCAAGAGAAGGCGTGAGAGGATATCATAGATTTCCAGGGGATCGACGGCGGCGTGGGGATCATCGGAGCGCGCGATCCGCTCCTTCTTGGCGTGAACCACTGGATTCGCATTGACCAGCCCCAGCGTCATCTTCCTCCTCCTCTTCCTCCCTCAGCTCACACGGATTGCTCTGAACCGTCGTCGACCAACTCAACCATTTTAGACCGTCGTCTTTTGGCCGTCGATTTTGTCAAGGAGTGTTTTTTTTACTCTTTGACTTGTGCTGCAAAGGTGGATGACGTCTAGACTCTAGACATGACGCATTGCCACCCGCTTATTTTTAAGCTATGCTTTGATGTAATGAGAATATCTTAATTTGAATTATACTCTCGTCTCACTTAAATTTTTACTCAAACTATTTGTAAAATTAAATTTTATAAGCTTCCTTTCTTTAGATGCGTTAACTTTTAAATGAGTATAGATATAATTCAACACAAAAACTTTACGTCTAGACATGCTAATTTTTAAATGACTCAAGCTTTCTAATAAATAAAGCATTTAAAATATTTTTTAGTGGGTGAGGAAAGTTAGGAAAATTTAGGGTAAATTTCACAAATGGTACCTGAACTTTAGCTTGAATTTCGAAGTGGTACCTGAACTTTAAATCCTTTCACAAAAATCCCCGAACTTACACAATCCTTTCACTAATGAGCCATTAGTCCGTTTCTAGGTTAACTTCCGGTCATTAGGGCCAAATTCGAATTTTATATATTTTAAAATTTTCAATTTAACCCCATTTCTTCTTTTCTTTTCTTCCACGCCCGCCGCCGCCGCCCGCCGGTCAAAGTCACCGGAAAATGAACTTTTTCCGATTCCGGCGGGACCAATGTCATTCTCTTCGTCTTGAGACGATGATCAATAATATCCAAACCATTTTGTCTAATTTGGCCTGTAACTTCTCGAATCTGAATTTTTCTACTCGAAAAAACCCTAAAATTTGAAATTGGATCCAAAATGAGGGGTTTTGCAAATCTTCATCAAATCTTGCAATTGAGGGGTCCTTCGAGGTCGCCCGGATGCCACGACCGCATTGGCGTTGGTGCCCGCCGTCAATTTCGCCGGAGTTGGCCGGAAAACGCTCCGACCCGCCGGAATCGGAAAAAGTTCATTTTCCGGCGACTTTGACCAGCGGGCGGCGGCGGCGGGGCGTGGAAGAAAAGAAAAGAAGAAATGGGATCAAATTGAAAATTTTAAAATATATAAAATTCGAATTTGGCCCTAATGACCGGAAGTTAACCTAGAAACGAGCTAATGGCTCATTAGTGAAAGGATTGTGTAAGTTCAGGGATTTTTGTGAAAGAATTTGAAGTTCAGGTACTACTTCGAAATTCCAGCTAAAGTTCAGGTACCATTTGTGAAATTTACCCGGAAAATTTATGTGACAGGGGGAGATAGGGTGAGGTATTGTTACGAGGCGACATACGTAAAGACGAGTATGAATAATAAAGACAGAGTCTACGGAAGGTGGCGTTAAGGGGGCAAGATGGAGTGAGATAAACAAACTACAAAGAGATATGATAGTGATATGAGGAAGATGACAGTGTGGTTATGGCTCTCATTGGCGTACTAATTGTTATATTACTCCAAAGCACATCTACAAAGAGATATGATAGTGATCGAGTTTGGAAAGAAGTGTACGGTTTATGTATGGTATAGCATGAACCTATATGTATCTATCGTAGTCCTTTCCACTCCTCACAATTCCATCTATAGTGTTTTGGTGATTTTATTGTCATCGACTATTTTGTGTGATTAAATTTATTTAGATTGGATAAAAATTTTAATAGACGACATTGTTAAAAAGTATAGATGTGTGAATGCATACTTGCTCAATGATATTATAAATCTCATAGTGACTTCCAAAGGTGGTAACTCCTTGATAGAGCCTCTAGTCAGGGTTGAGATGTATCTTTTGGAAATTTTTATTTAATGGAAATCCTTTAGATTTTATAGATGAAATATTAAATTAATATCATTCGAATGTGTAAATTGATTATTCAAATGTAGGCATTTTCCAGAGTTTGTTTTTTGCATAACATTGTTGAACATTTGAACGTTATTATGCAACATATGAATGTTTGATGATAACTTGAAGCACCCCTTGTGGAAGATATGCTAGCATTTGAATGTTTGTATTCAAACGCTAATTCACACGTAAACTGCTGCAAATATTTGAATATATTTTATTGTAGACATTATTACTTTATGAAAATCTCTTAACGACGAGACCTGATGATTCTCACGTAAATTGATGCAAACAATTGAATATATTTTATTTTGGAGATTATTGCTTTATAAAAATCTTTTAGATTTTGATAGAGGGGGTCTAAAATAAGTAGCATTCGAATGTATAGTTTGATCATTCGAATATATGTAATTTTCAAACTTCATCTTTTGCATATCATCGTTGAACATTCGAATGTTTGATGATAACCTGAAGCACCCTTTGCAGATGATCTCCTGCCATTTGAATGTTGGTATTCAAACATTCGATAGTTTAGCAATCGACATTTTGATTCACACGTAAATTGCTGTAAACATTCAAATGTTTGAATAAAACATTCAAATGTTTATATGGCTAGTTATGTTTTTTCACCAACAGTAATATTCAACCACTTTTTTATCTATACATCGTCGCTGAGTTTAAAGCTTTGAAGCCAAAATCGAAATCATCACTTCTTTCTCAATTGTTTGTTTGTCTAGTTAAATCTAAAATTAGAACCACTTACCTTCATTGATGAGTTTTAATGTTTGCTTTCTTTGCAATTTCCAGAGACTAACCCATAAAACTCATCCATGAAGGTTATTGGTTTCGATTTTGGGTTCCACCAGTAAGATGAACAATTGGGAAATGAGTGATCGATTCAATTTTGGGTTTAGAGCTTCAAACTCAGTGACATGTTTAGGAATGAATATGAGAGGATAGAGGAAGCTTAATTGAAAAGAGAGAGGAGTGTGAATATATACGGAGTACAATTTTATCTATGTGCTTAACGAAAATGTTAACAAAGGGTTCTTTTTAGAAAATAATATAATAATTGGGGACTAAATTATTAATATTTGATATGTAAGGACTAAATACGTAAAAGTAAGTAAAACGATCTATAACTAAGGATCTTTTATGCAATATATTCTGGGTAAATTTTACATCAATTATGAAGAGTGAAGTTCTTACCACTCAAGCAAAAAAAATCACATTTACTTTATTAATTAAAAGATAAATAGATTTGTTTTTCTTCCATTCTAAAATATTCAAACAAGAGAAAATATTTTTTCTCTTTCAAAATTTTACACCATTTATATTTTTTCCTTCCTAAATAATCCAAACAGAGGATAGTATTTTATTATTAACATTTTTCAACAACAAATATTTTACGATTAACATTTTCATTAATAACCTTGTTTGGTCCCACTGAATGTTTACCACATAGGAAAGTATTTGAGTATAATATTGTATTCTGTAATATATATCTTTTAAAATTTAGTTGAAATCTCAAGTTATAAAAAGTTGTAGAATTTGATTCTTATTATTCAATATCAATCTTTTAACTAAAAAAACAAAACTAAAAGTAATACCCAATTCTTTGAAAGGGTCGTCAGGGAAAAAGTGGAGCAAAATGTTTAAAATTTTAAAGGTTCCACCGAGACTTGAACTCGGGTTACTGGATTCAGAGTCCAATGTCCTGACCACTAGACCATGGAACCAATTACCTCAACTATTTTTTCAAAACAGCATCTGTTTGTGATACGCTATTTGATCAAACACAGATGTTTTATTTATAGGTATATTTCGCGGCCAGAAATGGGTGATCCGTTATTGTGTGAGAATGCGGCGACAGTGCAGGAAATTCAGCAGCACTGCTACTGCCAACTCCAGGCTCACGTTGTTGAAGGAGAAGAAATGGGATGCGCTGGTGATCGGCGGCGGCCATAACGGCTTAACTTCCGCCGCATACCTAGCTCGCTCCGGCCTCTCCGTCGCCGTCATCGAGCGACGCCACGTCTTCGGCGGTGCCGCCGTCACCGAGGAGATCGTTCCAGGCTTCAAATTCTCCCGTTGCAGTTACCTCCAAAGCCTCCTCCGCCCCTGTGTCATCAAGTTACTCTCTTCCTCCATCTCTATTGCACTCGCATATCCTTATCGTACTGTAATCGCACATTGTTGCTAACTTGTTTGCTCGTCAATGGGATGTGTTCGATTCCAGATCTTCTTAGTATGCTTCTGTTTTTCTTACTGGATTAATAGAGAATTAGAACTGAAGCGACATGGATTAAAGCTGTTGAAGAGAAATCCATCATCGTTTACCCCTTGTAGAGATGGACGCTATCTTCTGCTCGGTAGAGATAAACAGCAAAACTATTCAGAAATTTCTAAATTCTCCGAACGTGATGCCAAGACTTATCCCAGGCATGGACTAGAGCTATACACATGTCTATTCTTCTTTTGCTTTATCAGAACTGTTTGAGTTTACAAACTAAAAAGTTCAGTTCCCATTTTAATTTTGAGTTGCCACGTGGTCAAATAAATCAAAGGAAATTGTAGCTATTATGAGCACAATGTGATACTTCCACATTGTCTTTTAAGTGTGTGGTTGATTTCTTTGATAAATTTAAAAGTGAATGAATGTGGATGGAAATTATGTTCACCTTCATTCGTGAATGTATCAAAAAGGCCATCAAAAACACTGAAAAGAGAATGGACGAAGTATCTTCTGCCTGTATTATATTAAGGAGCATGTATTTATCCCTTCGCTTACCTTTTTTTGCCGTGCTCTGGAATTTTACTGATACGTAGATATGAAAATCAGCTGGACAAGTTCTGCAAATTTTTGGATCCACTTTTAGATTCTTCAACACCTGAGACTCTTCAAGGAAATTCATCTTTTAATGACCGACTGCATAATAAATTAGAAAGATCAGCATTTTGGTCTCACTGTCTGAGGCGTGCACTTACATTGGGGCAAAGGGATATGATGTAAGAGTTAATAATCATACTCTGGTTTTGAACTTTTCTTTAAAATCATCCAGGAATTTGCTTGGTATATGTTGCATTTCCCCATCCATCTTCCCTTATTAACTTGATTTAGCTTAACTTCAGGGATTTTATGGATATTTTACTTTCTCCAGCATCAAAGGTTCTAAACAACTGGTTTGAGGTAGCCATACTTGGCTCTATAATGTATCTGTTTATGTTCAAAACTACAAAATACAGTATATTTTTTCTCTTAAAAGTTAACTGTGTGCTAAAATATATTGGAAGTCAGATAATTCATTGCTTCGCACCCCCTAAAGATCTTCCATCACCACATGGGAGATGGTGTCTAGGTTGCAAGCTTTTCAAATTTGACCGTTCACATTTTTACATGACATCTTATCTTTCCTCTGCGAAATTGTTTTATGTTAAATCATTATCATTATCGTCTACCTTTCCCAACTAGTTGGTTCCAGTGACATGAAATTTAGGACTACACTGTCAATTCAATGTAAAGTTAAATAATACTATAATGTCAAGCAAAACATAGTGTCATACTGTCAAAGTTTTAGACTGGATGCCCACTAGCAACCTTCTCCTTGAAATTTAATTTTTTCCATATACCATCTGAATTATGGCAGCTTAACTCAGTTACTAAAATTACAGAGTGATGTTCTAAAAGCAACTCTTGGGACTGATGCAGTGATAGGGACCACGGTAAGCTATATCCATTATTCTTTCTGGAACTACATGCACCAAATCTGACATTTTATTCGTAGTTTAATTTTATTTTTCACATGCTGTGTTGGATGCACCAATGCATCAGGGTTTTAACTGAAATAACATCTCTATTTTTTACATGGGTTAGGTTGCATAGCGGAGTAGGTATAATATAAGGTCTATTGTTGTTAATGCTGTTGTGTCTTGAGTCACTTAGGTGCAGTTAGTAAGTTCTTTTCAACATGACAAATTTTCAAATCTAAAATCACAGGCAAGTGTACATACACCTGGAAGTGGATACGTCTTGCTGCATCATGTGATGGGGGAAACTGATGGTGACCGTGGTATTTGGTCGTACGTATGAGTTCTTGCTCGGGATTTAATCTTTTTCTTTGATCTTATGTATTCAACGTACAAATAACAAACGCTTATTTATTAAATTTTATTTACGTGGAAAAAGACATAAGAAAGCTATTCAAAGTTTTTTTCACTTTTTGTATTTTACTACCACTTTTTTGCCGTAATTCTGGATACTCTTTTAACATAAGCAAAGTATGGCTTGTCATGTTTTTCTATCACTTTGTTAGTCTAATGGTTAACAAATATTGTGACATTAGGTATGTTCAAGGGGGAATGGGCTCAGTGTCATTGGCCATTGCTAATGCTGCTATGGAAGCCGGTGCAACTATACTGACTAGTGAAGAGGTATTTTGAGATTATTTTGACAACTGACAATTAACTGATTTACCCATTTAAAGGTTGATTCTCATTTTATTCGGGACAAAGTTCTATCAAAAGGAACCAGTGCATCTTTCATTCTTTTGTCAAATCCAATGATCAACTCATAGATATCTTCATGAAATCATTTTGAAAGCCTCAAACAATCTGCATTCTGTTTCAACACACCCTCAAGGTGTGTATGTGTCACAGGCAACAAGCTTGTTAAACAGTATGGACTTGCTTTTTGTTCCCTTCTTTTTTTAATATTTTGTATGCTTTCCTCCCTCTTTTTGCTCACCACGTATGCCAAGTTTCTCAAATGGAGGCATTGGTTTTCTGACAATTGTAAATCAGCTTCTTATTTATACAATTGGACCAAAGGAGAGTTCCTTGGGCTGTTTTCCTTCTCACATTCAAGCGAGTTCTCTTGTTTCGGTATGCAGGTTTCAGAGTTGATAGTTGACGGCACTGGCAGGGCGTCTGGGGTTAGACAATCTCCAACAATGATCTCCATCTTTTCTCCAAATGCATTTTATATCCATTTTAACTAACAATTTTCTCAGCATCAAAACTCCATTTTATCCATTGATGCATCAACAAACCCAATAGATTCCCAACTCTGTTGGGGTCTCAGGGTAGGGTGGGGTGAGGTCAAGATGCACGTAACCTTACCCCTGTAAAAACAGAGAGGTTGTTTCCATTTAGACATTAGACGCATTGATGCATTTACTGCCCAAAACTTCATAGAAAGTAAGAAGCAATGCAACTTTAATGTGCCATTGAATCATTGTCAAAAATGACTCTTCAAGCTCATTTTTCGTACAATCTTTTAGCTCCATTTGCAATGGAAGCTAATCCATTAACAAATATATAATACTTTCTCTTTCATACTTATACTTACCTAAATAAATATTTGTTGGCTGCTCAACAGTAGTGTCAAGCAAACCTGTATGGAGTTGGTGCTGTGGGATAATAAAGCAATGTCCTCAAGTTGGCGATTATGTTGGATAATATAAAATCTGTTTCCCTTTTCAATTTCATCTTTAACCATTTTGCATTGTTGGAGTTGCTCTTAGTGTTGTTTTATTTGATCCCTTAATCTTTATTTTTCATTTCTCTGTTGATTTTATGAATATGATTCAACTGGCATTGTCTAGGTGTTGCTGGCTGATGGAACACCTGTGTATTCTTCTGTTGTCTTGTCAAATGCAACCCCTTACAAGACTTTCATGGTAACATTTCTTCTACATATGTTTAGACTCTTGTGTAACATTTCTGCTAGCAGAGTTTATGACCCCTTGCAACTTAACTGGCTAAGTAGTTCACAGATAATTTTTTTCACTACACAGGATCTTGTACCAAAAGATGTGCTTCCTGAAGACTTTCTTCGTGCTATAAAGCTATCTGATTACAGCTCTGTAAGTTCACACGCTTCTTGTTTTGATTTTACCTATTACTCCATATAATTATTGTTATTATTTTTACTCCGTATTATTATTAGTATTATTATTGTTATTAGTTGCCTGTTGCATATTGAATTATAATGATAGGTAGTGAGTCATATTGAATTTTGCATGTTGCAACCTATACACCAATACACCGTGTTGGCTCATGTGATCCCTCTCAACTAAATCTTTAGTTTGATAAGGGTGACATTTCTTGTATCATTATTATTATCACCATCAATGCTTCTATTTGTTTAATCCTATAATCCTTTGTGATCCGCTGACCTGAAGTTTTACGAGAACTAATTAATGAGGCAGGCAACTACCAAAATAAATTTGGCAATTGACAGAATTCCACAGTTTCAATCCTGCAATTTGGGACATCCTGATGCTGGGCCACAGCATTGTGGATCCATTCATATTGGCTCGGAGAAGTATGTCAGTACTCATGTTATCCATTTTCAGCTATATTTTAACATGTTTCTTTCTACCGTCTCAATTTTATTCAAAAGTCATTAATTTTCAAATACAGTAACAAACTTCTGTGATAAAATCTGTGCCTAAAGAAGGATTATAGTCACCCGATTGTTCGAGTAATACTTTTCTAATAGTCTTCGTGATATATCTAAGACATGATTGGGACTGGAGTCATTTTGACCACAAGAAAAATTGGCTGGTGATCTTGGATGCACACTGTTACACTGAACCTACATGAATGGCTTTTGCTTCATAAATGCTATTTGTGTTAGTAAGTATTAGTAGTAATTATCTTCTGTGATGTGTTATTTTTATTTTTTTAGAAAGTGTGCACTACTGGAAGGTTGCCTATAGTTCATATTTGGCCACATAATTTATCACTCTGCCTTTAAGGCATTTAAATTTGCAGTGTTCATTACAATGATAACATGGTTCAGGTCATCCAGTGTAACAATTAAAGTGGCATATATGCCTTGGTCGTTATTCATTATTGGTCTCAATCCAATTTTGTTTTGATCAATTTGAGCGTGCATGATACGGAGTAGTAAACAACGTCCCAAGAAACTGACTGTTTTTGTTTGCATGGGTTCCCATTTTCAACTTCAGTTGATGTTATAACAAAACTTCCATAAGTTCCAGATCATGCTTTCACTGGACATTTTATTGTTTGATTCTTATTGCAGTTTCGAGGATATGGCTGCTGCTGCACAGGATTCTGAAAATGGATTACCATCTAGAAGACCTCTAATTGAGATGACTATACCTTCTGTCTTTGACAAAACCATTTGCCCCCCTGGTGATTTTAGTATTCTTCCTTTCTTTTCACCTTTTAAGAATACAGAGTATTACATTTCAAAAAAGCCAACTTTGACTAAAAATTGGCCAATCCTCTGAAAAGATTAAATTATCCGTCCCCTCAAATTGAATCAATTTTCTCTTTCCCACCCGTAGAATTGACTTGAGCTGGCCATTTCCGGGGGGAAGGGGTGGTGGTGGGGTTGTGGGCTCGAGGATGGCCAGTTCAGCTTGACATTTCTAGCTTCTCTTGGTCCACCATTTTATTTTTTCTTTGAAAAATATATACTGGATTCACACACACACACATTGATATTAAAACTGAAATTTCATTCTTCTTCCTAGGAAAGCACGTTGTCGGTTTATTTATCCAGTACACGCCATACAAGCCATCAGATGGAAGCTGGGAAGACCCTGCATACAGAGTAAGAATGATACAAATACTGAAACTCTCAGTATTTATCGTATTCTATTTAATCAAAATGTATACATAGATCAGTTAGTAAATGGCTTTAAGGGTTGATTGAATTTTCTCTGCAGGACAAATTTGCACAGAGATGCTTCAGCCTAATAGACGAATATGCTCCTGGGTTCAGCTCATCTGTTATTAGTTATGACATGCTTACTCCACCAGATCTTGAAAGAGAGATTGGCTTGACAGGTATCATGTGCATGCTTATCTGAGTTCAGTTAATCATCTTTAGATACATACAGAAATCAAGTAAATTATGGGTGTGATTATGGGGTGTGTGATTACGGGATTTGGTAACATGAATTCAATTTTCTTATTCTTATGTTTCAGGATCATATGTTTTAAAATGCATGATTATTGAGACTCTGTTTGGCTTTACAATTTGTCTCATGTTGTTTATTGGCAGAACTAGACTCGTACCCGTGTGTTGCACGGAAAGTAATTTTATCAAAATTTAGAAAATAAATCTACAATTATAGTTTTGTAGACATGCCTCGAATTTAAATACTTCAAAACATATACCTTCCCCACAATCTTCTTAACAATCTACTCCTCATCGTTTAATTTTTTAAATTTTGGACTTGATTTGAAAAAACTTAATTACTCCATCAATCCAGAATTGGATGTCACTGTCACTATTATAACTTCTCGATAACTTTTATTTGTTTGTATATTTGTATTGATAATTTGATAAGATAAAACATTCTAACCACTATCTTTTGTTTTATAATTTTTTTTATGTATTTTAAACGGTGTAATTTATACTTTTTGTTTCTATATTAATTTGTACTTAAAATAATTTTAAAATGATGAAATTTGTACGTTATCCAGAATATGGCATCTAATATGGGGCAGAGGGAGTATTTTTTATTATTAACACATTTATTTTGTTCTCAAGACATCATCAGGGACAAAGGGAGTGTTATGTCACAATTATACAAATATCATTTGATATCATACACGTTTTACTTAAAACTTCGTACCAAAGCATCATTCAAGAAGTGAAATCCAAAAAACCTAAAAGTTAGAATGCATGGAGACATAAAAAAATTAATAGCAGAGGAAATCCGTCCTTAAACAAAGGTTGATATCATACACGTTTTACTTAAAACTTCATACCAAAGCATCATTCAAGAAGTGAAATCCAAAAACCTAAAGGTTAGAATGCATGGAGACAATAAAAAATTAATAGCAAAGGAAATCCATCTTTAAACAAAGGGGCCTGGTTAAAGTGTAAGGCTCCTGTGCAGAATGCATTCCATAGACAACTAACAACAAATATTCGAGTAAATACCAAGAACCACAAATCAATGAAGGTAAACTTGTGCAAAACCGATTACCAAAATTGATTTGTAACCTTTTGAACTGTTATATTTCAAGTACTCCCTAAATCTACAGTTTTGAAAGTGATATTGTTTTATTTATGATATTAGAAATAAAAAACCAAAAAGTTGAATTACTAATTCAAAAAACAAAATAATATTTGAATAAAAAATTATACCATCACGTTCAGTGTCATTGCAAAGTAGATATCCATCTGCCGTCCTCAAGCTTTGTCAAGGTATCTAGCCACCACATTCTCCCTTGATTATACAGGAGAAGCAAATTTACTCCATCTCCTTTTTTGAGAAGCATGTCGTGGATTGAAGTTCTGTAGCCTGCCACCGCCTCCGTCAACAAGAATATTATACTCCATGGTTTGAGAAGCCCAGATTTATAAAGAGTAAATAAAAAAAATTGAATTCAAGAGAAAAAACTTGCAACCAATCTGAAATTCTAGCCCAGGTCGAAACCCTACCTGGATTGCCGTTCTTTGGGATGGAAAATCAATCTGAAATTCTAATTGAAGTTGTGTAGCCTGCCACTGCCCTCGTCGCAAGATCCAATCGCTGCAGATGTGAGGTCATGTGACTACTTTCGAAATCCCAAACCAGAAGATGGTTTCCGGCACTGTTCATGTTTTCCCCTTAGCTTTGTATATAAGATAGATAAGCAAAATACACAACTTTTGTCTTATTTTGTGAGAGAACACTCTAGTGAGTGACTCCAACATTGTTATACGTTATATATGATGCCTAACTTTCTTTAATTACCTTATCGACAGGGGGGAACATCTTCCACGGTTCAATGGGATTAGAATCTTTGTTTCTCATGAGACCAGTGAAAGGATGGTAATTATTAGACCAAATAAAGATGATCATGACTTTTTTGGTCATGTCCAACTTTTTGTATGAAATGAAGCCTGGTGGTAAAGGTGACTCAAGTCACATGCTATCTTAAGTCTAAATCTATTGTTGTCAATGCGCAGGTCAAATTATAGAACTCCCCTGCAAGGTTTATATTTGTGTGGCAGTGGGGCCCATCCGGGCGGGGGCGTTATGGGTGCACCGGGGCGCAATGCTGCCCATGTGGTCATTCAAGACTTGAAAAAAAAGCATATGAACTGACTGATGCCATTCCATGAAATTCACCAGTTTGAGCATTGATGATCGATCGCTTAATTGGTTTATGGCTTAAGCTTCTTCAGGGTTCAGCGATGCATCATTATAGGTATCTGTATTTATATTTAAGTATATACATCATAATAATTCATAGGGTTATTCAAATGAATATTGAATCTTGAAATGAATATGGAGGAAGTAATGGAACACAATGCATTAAATAATTACTCAGCCCTTTCTCATTGTTTAATACTCCCTCCGTCCCACTTGAATCTTTACACACACTATTCACATGGTCAAACTTTATATAGTTTGTTTTCTTATTTTTGTTACTCATTTGGTAATATAATATAATCATGTCACCTCTAGTTTTGTGAATCTTTTGATATACTCTGTAGTTTTTAATGTGTGTGTGTGTGTGTATACACATATCACACACACGCACCTACAATCAAATAAATTGAATTGAAAATAAAATTGGTCAAGTATCGCAACGCGAACCGGGAAGATTCAAATGATACATGGGGAGTAATGTTTTGTTTCATTTAACAATGAAAAATAGTGCTCGGAAGATGATTCATGCATCTTCCTCATACATACTCCGGGGTATATAAGCATTTTCATGATGTTAATATAAGCATTTATTTAATTTTCTTATACGGAGTATAAGAGATCCATGCATTATAATATGAACCCTAAATCCATATATTGAAGCATTCTATTTTAACTTATTGTTTGTAGCCCCTTTCAAAATGTCTTCTTCCAAAATCTTTGGATCCATGATTCTCGGATGTCTTTTACCGACCCCTAAAAGATGATACCACATTATTCATCAATGGTATGTGCACATTCATCTCACTCACATTCTATCACGTGATCGTGTGTTTAAGGTGAATGTGTAATCATCATTATTAGACAAAAATAGACTTGGGACTAGAATTTTTAGTTCACAATCTAGCTAAACCGATAACTATAATTATTACGAAGTATATCAAATAAAGCAAACATACTAGAACTTGCATTTTTTCCATCCCCGTGGAGCTAAAAATTCACTATTTTTTGGCATAAAGTAAATTTAATCTTTAAACTGTATGCACTTCTTGCAATTATAAAGTAACAGTTAATAAATGCAAATTTCAATGCTCAGCATAAGTCATCTAGAAACAACTATTCTATGTTTAAATATAAAAGTGGGATTGCGTACATCCAACCCTCCTTTAGCCCGACTTGCGGGAGACATTGAGGCACTTACCAGAACTCAGAATTTTAATTTTGTAAGCCCAAAATGCGAGCTGACCCGAGGCCCAATCTAGAAAAATCTCATATAAGCTCCTACACTTCAGTCTGAAACTCGGCCCAATTGTTCGCTTCTCTGTTTTTGGTTCCGAGCTCACACACTTTTCAATCTCTACGGGGTCAGCCGCGGCCTTGAACTCGAATCGCCGGCCGTCGCCAGTCCGAGATTCTGCGGCCGGAGATTCTACCATGGGTGATGAGGACAGTCCGCGTAACCTAGAAGATTCCGACGCCGACGTCAACCACTTCACAATGCTCCTCGCCGGAGAAGAAGAAGAAGAAGAAGAAGTAGCAGAGAAGGAATCAATGGTGCCTCTCCAACACCAACGCTACCATCTCCAATCCATCGCCTCCACCATTCTCATCAGACAGATCCCTTCCCAAGGCCTCTCCTTCCAGCTCTGGCCCGCCGCCGCCACACTCATCAACCTCCTCGACGCCCGCCGTCACGCCCACCCTACCCTCTCCGCCTTGCTCGCGCGTCGCGACGCAGGGAACCCCCTCCGCGCGCTCGAGCTCGGATCCGGCACAGGCGCGGCCGGAATTGCCGCGGCGGCGATTCTCGGTGCCCGAGTTACCGTCACGGACCTCCCGCACGTCCTCCCCAACATCCAATTCAACGTCGACCTAAACCGGGAAGCACTGGAAACCCACGGCGGCGCGGTGGACGTGGCGGCGCTGTCCTGGGGGGAAATGGAGGACATGGAAGCGATGGGGAGAGGGAAGTACGATCTGATAATGGGATCTGATGTGGTGTATCACGACCATCTCTATGAACCGCTCCTGAAGACGCTGAGATTCTTCCTGTCGGGAGAAGAGAGGACGGCGGCGTTCCTGATGGCTCACCTGAGGAGATGGAAGAAGGAATCTGGGTTCTTCAAGAAGGCGAAGAAGGATTTCGATGTGGAAATCATACACAGAGATCCGCCATTGGACGGAGCTCGGATTGGCGTCGCCGTTTACCTTTTCGTCCCAAAAACTGGTCTCAATTAATTCCCCAAAAACATAAATGGGATGGGAGAGAGATCAGAAATGGAAGAAGTTTTCTGGTTTGTTCTTCAAAGTTTTTTTTGGACAAGATTTTGTTGCTGTGTATCAACTCATTTTGGTTATACTCGTTTCATAAAGCTTAAATTGATAATTTTAAGCTTAAAAAATATGTAAGAGAGAATTTTGTTATAAAACCACTTTTAAAAACAAAATTGTTTAATTTGATTTTTTTTGTATTAAACTAGATAAATTTTGAATTTTAATTACTTTCAAATTGTATTACATATTTATAAAATTATATGAAAATTTGAAAATTTTCAACTAGATATATCTAATACGAAATTTTTTTATATTAATATACTTCAACATTTTTGTTTAAATCAAATTCAAAGTTCATCTTATTAACTCGAAAAAGTGAAACTAACATATACCCTCAAAGGGAGTATAAAAGAAGTGGATATAGTAAAGGCCAAATAGCTCTAACCCCCTGTGGTTTGGAAAATTGGCACCAATACCCCCTCTGTTTTCAAAACTTATTTCTAAAGTCATTGTGGTTTCAAAACGTTGCACGCATACCCCTCTGATCATTTTCCGGCCATTTTCCTGTGAAGAGGGGCATTGACGCATAATTTCTAAACCATAGGGGGCACTCGTGCTCATTTCTTATTTTCGTTTATTATTCTTCCCCTTTTTTTAATATTTTCTATCTTTTTTTCCTTTTCCTAGATTTTTTTAAGATATATTTTCAATTTTTTTTATAATGTTTCAAAAATTTTAAAATTCTTTGTGTTTGAAATAAAAATAGAAATAAAAAATTAACATACATTACATCTATCTCAAATTAAACATTTTCAACTTTTGTTACTTAGAATAATTTTTTGGAAAGTTCAAAAAAAAACTCAGAATAAAAAAATATAATATGGAAAATCGAAATGAAAAAATTAAAATACGCAAAAAAAGTCTTATACAAAAAAAATTTGGACACGCCTAAAAAAGTCCTTAGAATTGAGATGTCTAAAAAGGTTATTCATTTTTATTTTTGTATTATTTTGTTTCTTATTTTATTCCTCATTTTGTTGAAGTTCTAAAAAAAATTACTTTTTATTCAAAAAAACAAAATTCGTTAATTTGAGACGTACAAATGCATTATATGTTAATTTTTTCAAACAAAAATAACTTTAAATTTTAAGAACATTATAAAAATATTTTTAAAAAACCTTTATTAATAAATGAAACAAAAAAAGGAAAAAATGGAAAAAAATTGCGAGAAATAAAAATCAACACTGATACCCCCTATGGTTTAAAAAATATGCACCGATGCCTCCCCTTCTTCGCCGGAAAAATGGCCGGAAATTAATCAGAGGGGGCATGGGTGCAACTTTTTAAAACCACAGGGACTTTAAAAATGAGTTTTGAAAACAGAGGGGGTATTGGTGCCTGTTTTGCAAACCACGAGGGGTACTGGTACTATTTGGCCATATAGTAAAAATAGGATAGATACAAAACCCCTTTAAAGATGTAAAATGAAAATTTAAAAATGTGTTGTTTTAAAATTATTTGAAAAAAAAGAAAAGAAAAAGAAGGTTAATCACATTCTTATTTTCTAAAAAAAAGGTACACAGTGAAATTAAATTTTACACCAAAAGATGAAATGTAATTATCATTCTAAATTGGAGAGTAATATTTGGGGAGAGTGGTATAGGGGATTTTTTTTAAACATCCACATCACATTATGATTTTGACCTCAAAAGATATCACAACCTATCTCTATCTATTCTATTTAATGGAAGGAAGACAAGAATGGGCATCCCCTGCAAATAAGAACAAAGCCACATCCAAACTATGAAATTAGAATTATAGATAATAATTCTAATTTTGCTATTTAATAGCATAAAAATATGTGGATTTCAAATTGGTAATGCCAAAAATAAATTGGAATTGGAGAATTCAATTCCACCCAAATCCATTTTGTAGAATTTCAAATCCAATTCAATTCCAATTTCGTTATGTAGCGAAAGTGATCAGGTCAAGAAACAATCTGAACTTTAGCTGAATTTGAGGATCCTAAAAAAAATTATGGAGTAACATTGGGAGGAAAAAAAGGATTCAGATGCATACAACAATTTCATCAGTTTTTTTCTTGTTGAATGAAGATTGAAGACAACATTCATAAAGGGGATGGGGGAAAAATGCATCTACAATTACAAGTAACTGCCTGCTTTACACATTTTTGCTGCAATCTGGTCTTTGTCCCTTGCAAAGATATTGAAATTACAACAGAAAATATTTCTTTAACTTAATTTTCGTTTAAAAAAGAAGAAGAAGAAAGTTACTCCAACCTGCAGTAGGATTAACTTAATTTTCGGGGTTTAAGGCAATGAATGCTCCTTACAAAGCCTTTACCAACTTCACCAACACTTCTCAGTATATTAGCCTCATGATCTTCACTCCCGTCTGTTGAATCCCTTCCCCTTTTCTGCATTCAACCACGCAGAGAAAAACACAGAATCTCAATCATTGATCGAAAATTGCCAAGATACTCCCTCCATCCCTTCATACTTTATCAACTCTTTTCAGATGTCTCAAAACACACTTCACGCGTATATATATTTTTTTAAAAATAATGAACATGGAGCTCGCAAAATTTCTCACCCATCTGAACAAATTTTAAACATAACACTTTTCACATTTCAACACTTTTCTTAAATTTCGTGAAAGTAAAACACGAAGTTACTTGGTTTTTTTGTGATCACAAAAAAACACCATCCCATATAAAGACTAACAGATTCATCCTTATTTTTTTAACTAAACAAGTCCAGTTCGAAGAAAAATACTTATGGAAAAACTGTCCAAAACAAGGGGAATATCTTAAGTTAAACTGTCCAAAACAAGGGGAATATCTTAAGTTTAGTTAAAGCAACCTTCTTTTAAAGCTTGTTTAGAGAAACCCAAAACAACATTTTTTTCATCATAATAATTTTTAATAAAAATAATTTTTTCATCTACTGATTAGTTTCTGTAGAGGTGTCATATTAAGATCAAAAGTTTGTACAATTTGGGAAATGACTGTTTTTATAGAATGGAAGGCGTATATGTTTTTTTTGGTTGCACAACTATTGCTTTCATTTTAGATTTTTGTATATTATGTTTAGGTTATTCATCCTTTCAATTATGTCATTTCCAACAAAATATGAGTTAGAGAAACCGTGAATTGTAAATGACCATAAACACATTTAAGCTACAAAAAATGTTTTGCATACCTTCGAATTGGCTTTTACCCAAGTTAAACCAATGGCATCACCGCCCAATGAGTCGTACCAAATCTTGAATGTATCTGGAAATTCTCTCTGTAGAAAGAACAACCATGTGTGCAAAACGAAACAGATTTTTTTATAAAGTCAAACAGATAAATGTGCAAGACCAGCTGATACCTTAATTTCTGTAATAAAGCACTTCAGGGGATCAAAGTCCACCATCATTTTGGATTTCAATTCCTTGTAGCTATTTCTGAGGTTTGCAGTGAGAATGAAAGGATGGAATGTCTTGGTTGGCTTGCCACGCACAACACAATGACCTAAATAAAGTAAAAAGTAGCAATGCCATTTAACTATGAAACAATGTGATGTTGAGGCTATTTGTTTAAGGCTTGAGAAACTGATCCTGCTATTTCCAGCAGCCATGATTTCAACTTACAAGAAAAAGAATCTGTTTTTGAGGTGTTTGGCATAATTTCTACAAGTGATTGTGTGATCAGAAAATTATTTATTTACAAACAGAATCAAAACTCAAATTATCGTTTCTGCCAAACACACTTATTATTAAGAAAAGATGAGAAACAACGAATAAAACCTTGTTGGAGTTCAGACGGGAAAAGAAGATGGTGCGGATAAGGTAATTTGTCTCGGTGGAGAAGAACCACAGCATCATAATTGCATAAAGGTGTGCGAAAAAGGCACTGTGGGAGAGAAGATAACACTATGATAAGTTTATATTCAGTTTAGAACATATAAAATGATTTAAAGAGGAAGTTGCATGTATATGCTCACTTTCCAGCCGTTAGAGTCATGCTGATCTTGGGAAATCAGTTTGGTCAACAAATTTGCACTGCTGGTTGCATATGCCACCAATCTCTTAAGCTCCTGGTAAAAGAATCCATGTGTATTAGCTCTGTATAGCAAATACTTTACTAATTTTAAAAATATTCGTTAGGGGTGAGATGCATCAGGCGTAACACTGAACTCTTAAAAGGAGATTACGGAGATCACAAGATGACAGCTTTTTAACAAGGGCCAATTACTTTGTAGCTCCTCAACTATGCAACTGTGGCAATTTTAGTTCCTTGTTACTAGCTTTTGCAAAAACTATCCTCAGTTGTATTGTTTGGTGGTGGTTTTAGTCCCCAACCTTTAGTAGTTTTAGTCTCTGTTGTTGATGAGGCTGACAACGGTCAAATAGCAAGAGTGATGTTTTTTTTGTAAAATTTAATCAAAAAAGTTAACATGGAGGGACTAAAACTGCTAAGAGTACATAAATGAAGGGGACTAAAGAGCAGTATAGGGATGCCATTTCTGCTGTTGAAAACAAAACCAATGCAGTGATGTGACGAACTACGTGCACAAAAAGCTGAACAATATCCCTTACGACTACAATATGCTCTGATTTATCACAACAATATGAAATATTGAATATATACTGTACTTACTGTTGCTGTAGGTGATATGGTCCACGCTTCAGAGGTAAGGTCGTATTTAGTAGCCAAGAACATTGCAGGCCTTGCATCATGCGATTTTGTCTGTGATTCTTCTCTAGTTTTTTTAAAAGCCGTCTGCCAGTTATATAGTGGTAGAGATCATGAAAAACTGTTAACACAAAAAAAAAAGAGACCAAAAAGAGGGTAGGGAATAAGGATGGTTCTTACATTGATTTTCTTCAAATCCTCAGCTGTAAAATCACTCCCTTGTTGCTCTTCCATATTGGCCGAAATACCATTAAAATCAATCACCAGAGGAGAAAACATCCAGTCATATTCTGACAATAATCTTAGGAACCTGTTTCAGATAGTCATATAGCTTTGAAATTAATAATGTCAGTGGCAAACTTGACAGAAATCAAGGTTAGAAGTGTTGGAGAGTGCAATATAAAGACAAACACATGAGCATGTGTCATATGTGATGCACACTACTTTCTACCATGGCGGGGATCCTCCCGAAAACACTTCTCTACTACTAGGAGTAGAGGATAGAGAAAAACATACATTGTGTTTATACACACACACACACACACATATATGGGCGGGTTCAAGTAAAAACACTCATCTCCATAAAAATGAAAATGCATCTCATGTGTTAATATTGGTTGATCAACGACCACTTTCATTCGGTGCATCAATATTATTGTATGATGATAGCTCATAGATGGTACTTAGATTATTTATTCAAGGAGCAGAGAAGGAACTCGTAGTGCACTACATGCGTAAGTTTTCTTAAAATTCAGAAAACATTTCTCCGTGCTCAAATTCAAATTTCTGTAGAATTTTAGCAAACTTTATAATAACTACAGAATCTTGCACTTCAAATGGACTGTAATTCACCTTATATATTTGCACGATATAATAGTGTTTTCCATGCACTTAAAGGTTGAAGAATACACTCTTCTAGCCTTAGTTAAATCTTTTTGCACATCAATCGGTCAGCAATTTAACGCATGAAAAGAAGAAAAGGCTTTTGGATTGCGATATTTTCCTGACTATGCAGAGGAATTTCATTACAAAAAGGCCCTGTAACTTCTTACTCCCTCCGTCCCAAAAGAAATGTCACAGTTACTATTTTGGCCTCATGATAACTTTTCTTCGTTTACTCGTTTTGGTTGACCATTTGATAAAATAAAATATTCTTGTCGCATCTTGTTTTGTAAAACTTTTGATCAATTTTTGAACGGTGTAATTTTACTTTTTATTTCTCTACCAATTTGAAAATAAAATGATTTTAAAAGAGATGATATTGTGTACGTTGTTCGAAATGTTACTTACAATTTGGGATGGAGGGAGTATAAGATCAGTTTCATTTATCTATGTGTGTAGCTAAATGGATAGAGAACATCCACTGGTAAGTTAAATGCCACCTAAATAGAAGAAATCAACCTTAGAAATCCAGTTATGCGAGAGCAAGGAGGATCAAATGGAAAAGGGCTCAAAAAAATATAGGCAACCATCAACTCAACTGCCTCCTCTGCCAACAAGGGGGAAAGGAAGTGTGCGGATACCCAACGTTTTGCCAGACTACACAACAAAGAAAAAAATATAAGCCATTTGAATGTGAGATGTCCGAGAACAGAAAATTTTGGAGAAGCTCTCACCGAACAACAGGGCCATAAATTGAATAACGACCCCGCAAGCCATTGGTCATGCCAGCATGAATGTGACGAAGGAGGAGGTTTTTATCCGTGGAGAGAACCCACTTTGCTTGACCATAATTAACTATATATAAAAACAATTCTCATCAATATACTGCAGCACATTTTAGAGAGAATGATGTTTAACACATAACCATGACAAGTAAGAAGCATCTTACATTGCCTATTTACCAAACTCAAAGCTCTCTCATGCAAAACTTTAAGGCGGAATGCAAATCCAGACATAATAACATCTACATCATCCTCTGTTGCTGTACACGTCATTCCCCATTTCTTATGAAGACTGTCATGGCATTGTAAAGAGAAGTCAATTCCTATTTTATATTGCAGCCTTTTCAAGACAAAAAAAAAGGGATCAACCTTTCCCCGATTTGGATAAGAAATGCTGATTTTGTCTTCTCCATAGCCACTTCATCCAGTGGCCAATTTCCCGAGCCTTCCAGCTATTAACAATACATTCAAGATAGCGATGAAAACTACCACTTGCAATAACAGGATAAAGAGAGTGCGGATAAACTATTCATGCCTGAATTGCAACTTCTAGTGGTTTTAAACATGTAGAAATAGGTCTTTGCTGTGTTGACTCAATGCATTTTTCAAATGCCAGAGGATGAGGTGCAGGGGGATAGACAGAAGTTTGCCTGAAAGCTGTCACTAAAGGTTAGTACATAGAGAATTTGCATTGAAAATGTATTACACAGTATAAATATTTCGGCAAGGATCTTTTGAACCGAGCCTAATTTGACCTTATATGACCTTGGCATTTTGGGGCAGCTACGGTGCTCTGTGTGTATACACACATACGTACAAATATATACATATACATATACACAAACACACACAAGTGTAGAACATCTAAATGCAGCTGTTCAATCCACTTCTCTATAATCCCACTGGCAAATTAAGAAATCTGTTGGTATATACTCCGTTCTTTAATAAATTTCATTTTGCATTTGCAGCTTGCGCATGTATTAAGATAGTGTGGGAGTAAACTATTGAATAATGTGAATAAAACAAAAAAGGTTCATGGATTATTTCAAAAAATAAGAGAAGTTTATAAGAGCCAGAGAGATTCAATTATTGAAAACGTGAAGATACAGAAAAAGGTGTACGAATGGTTAAAAGAGAATATTAGGAAACCCACATTAAAAACAAGAATGCTACATACTGTCGAGCATAGAAATTTGAAGATACATGTTATGCCCAAGAACAAACTTCAAATTGATTGTTCAAGCAAAAATACTAGCATAATATGTTGTATACCGCTACACCTCAACATGTATATGTTTGCTTTAAAAATATATGGAGTACAAGTGAACTTATAAAATGAAATCCGTAACACAGAAGAAAAAAATCTCATCCTTGCTTGGATGTGCCTTATCTCCATCTTACATTGGAGAAAAGAGGAATGACTGGCATTAAGAACATACCTGGGTCAATAGCTAGCACACTTGACACCCGCAAAGGAATATCACTCAATTCATGCAAACGCTTTGAAAGCTCTTCAAATGCTCCCAAAAGTTCAGTTGAGAAAGATATAGGATCTGGAAATTTGAAACTCGGTTAAATCTCTCAGCATTCTTCAAGATCAAAAATCAAAATGAGTAAAAAAGAAGAATCAAAATTTGTAGAGCAGTTAATAGCCATATACCTAAATCCTTCTGTAGAAGAGTGAAATCAAGTTGACTGGCAATGGGAACGATCTTCTCTTTGGTAATAGATAGATGCCGTGATAAAACATACTCAACTATATCTCTCACAATGAGATGCTTCTCCCACTCTTTACACTCCCAAACTGGATATTGCATGATCCATTTAATATTCTCTTAAAATCTAAGCACGTGAAGAATAAAAAATAACTCTGCAACATTATGACCATCATACCTGCAACTTCAGCAATTTTACTGTCACGGAACTGTCTAAGTGTTGCCTTATCTCCCCAAAATTTTCGGAACTCTAGAGCCTACCATTGAATATCAGAAAAGAATATTTAGCTCTAAAAGTTAAAGTGGCATGAAGTATTATCATTTAATATGTACCTTATCTTTTTCTTCATAGCTAGGGCCTACGGTAGCTTTTTTAAAGGCTGCCTCCACGGAGCTTACTGATATCCCAATAAGCAATGGTTCTTCATCAAATTTTGACAGTCCCTAAAAAAAGTTCCTATTACAAAACTAGAATATATATACACACAAAATATAGAGAACCTATGACGTTATGGACTATCAGTGTTATTACGGCGTCGCCTAGTCTCCGACTAGGCATCCAGGCGCTGGGGGAGGATCGCCATGGCTGTTCGCCTCGCCATATCAGTCCTGGCGTTGCTTTGTTGTCGCTTGGTCGTCCCGGTGCAAGACTCTGACGCCTAAGTTGTTTGACCAGCAGTCAAATTTTTTAATCCGTAACTTTATTAACCCTAGCCGCTAAGTTCTATTTAGTAATAGTATTAATAAAGGTTCAGCTGTATAAAAGAGAGGATTAAGTCGGTTAGTCGAGTAAGGAAGCCGAGTCGACTTCACTGTTGGTCTGCTGCGACTCTGCGACTCCTGCGATGATTGAGGAAGATCAGGTGATCCAGTGAGTGAACGGGTAGGGTTTGCTGGAAGCCTGGAACTGATAAATTGATTGCTTTCTCCCTTTTCTTTTCTAAGTTTTTATATCTAAGAAGGTTCATACTATCTTTAACTTCAACAGTTTAATACTATCTTCTTAGTATTAATTTTTTATATCTATCTTTAACCATTTTTTTGTTATTATTTCTTTTTACAAATATGGTTTAATGCTTTTTTCACATGCTTAAATACTACTCCTTATATGATTAACTTTCAAAATTTATAATACCAGTTATAAATAGTAATTTATTTAAGTTTTTTTTATTCTTTTCATGATAGTTATGTTTTAATATTTATAGAATTGTAGTGTTTTAAATTCTAAGTGGTCGCCAAATTGATGCCTTGGCATCCACCTAGTCAACTAGGCATCCTGGCAACCCACTAGCACCGCGCCTCGCCGTGGCACCGTGATAACTATGTAGACTACGTAAAATTGTAAACTAATACCTCTTCAAAATTGCATCCAGATGCAGTATTTCTCCAAAGAGCACGAACAAGCTTAGATCTCTCTGTCAACCCTTGATTCAAGACAGACCCTACCTTGTTCTCATACAATCGCCAACATTCATCATCCAAACAAAATCCCGAATCATAAATGTCACGGTGTCCTCTCATATTCAATCTAAAGATAGAGTAAACAAAAACAAATGCATTGTCAACTTCTAGTCTATCAAACCTTGACATTTGATGACTTCTATTTTGCTATTGCAATCGAATGTAAACAGACCAAAAGAATTTGCAGTACCTTAGGATATACAAATGTGAAATCTTCCCCTCAAACAGGCAATTAAAATTTGGTGAGGGTGGGAGGGTTGGGAGGAGGCAAAGTTTAATAAGAGATGCATCTTATGACATAAATTGGTAGTAAAACTATTTAAGTTGAAGTAACATACATAAAATACAAATACAAAAAGCAACATATTACTCCCTTAAAGCAATATACCTTACGCAATAGTCATATTTAGCCGGAAAATCAACCTTTGTCATAAAAAGCTCTTCAAACCCACCATCTCTACACTTTCTAATGCAAGTAAGTGCCAATGCCGCCTCATTCCGGAGCTGAATAGAAAGAAAATCACATTGTTCTGATTACAGCATAATCAATCAAACTACTTATATAGTTACATAAATAGACTTGCACATTAAAATGAAAAATTCAAAACAAAGGGACGATTTCTATGATTTCAAATATACTGTCTTAGGAATAGCTTCTTGTTTCACTTAATTTTTTTGATGATTTTGCATCAAAATAACATCACAATATCACATCTACACAAAATATCAGGTTTGAGTAAATCAATTCAATCAAGGTCCAATCTTTAAAATATCATAGATGATGCTTTATACCTCCAAAACTTATTCCTGAATTTGTTTGGAGTAGCTGATAAAAACCATTTGTCATTTGGAGTTTACAACTTTGCTTAAAAGAAAGTTTACTTTTAAATTCTGACTTTTTTTGGATGATAAAATTTCTTGGAATGGGGCTCTTATTTAGGGATTGAGGGAGTACTTATCTACTAAGCTGCGGGCTCGTTTCATCTTTAAGGTTAGAAACGAGCAGGAAACATTGAAACAATCAGGACCTTCAGGGTGGCAGAGAAAAGAGATAAAATATGTCTACTTGAAGAAACAAACTAATTTAAATGGCAAGGTATATAATGCCAAAAACATAGGTAGAGTTAAAATCAATAAATAGAATGCTCAGGAATAGAACCTCTTGGAAACCACTCTGTGACAGGCGAAATGCCAGATTGAACTCTGAATCGGCATTGGAAATAACCACAGGAAATTGTTGGAAGCATACCCTTGTGTTCTGAAATTCCATTAAGAGATGAATCTCAACGTGAACAATACATAAAACAGCTATGCAACCTATGAAGATGGTTAAAAAGAAAGGGAACTATAGTATATGACCCTAAAAGAATTACATGTGAGCAGACTATAGAATACAGCAAAGTCAACATAAAATTAGTGAAAACTTACCTTGGTTGATCCATTGTTTTCACCTACTGCATTAAATAAAAGTCCCTTGTCCCAAATTTTAGAGTTTGCTACAATGAACATAAGGGGAATTAGCAAAGCAAAAATTACTGAATCTTTACCCCTCTTTACACATGTAGCCCTAGGAAAGTGGAGAATTAACATGATACAACATTTTTTACAATTTACGTAAATGCAAGTTAAATTAATAGTTTCCATCCATTGATAAAACTTATAAGGGGGGGATTGTATATGGAAAAGGATACACCCTAAATGTCATTAAAAAAGAACAGTGCATGTGCTTATTACAATAATAGTAGCAAGTTTGAAACAAAAAGAAAAAACAAACATAGATGTAAAGTAGTACATACCAATAAACTCCATGGTGACCCGAAATATTTGCACTGAATTCATTATGTTCTTAATGCTGTTGCTACCAGTTCTTTTGGCAAGGAATGCCATTATAACAGAAATAAGGAATCCATTTAAACAATCATGGGCATATATTGAACTCCTTTGGTGAGCCCAAACCTACATCATGATGATAACAATAAGGTCCTATGTAAGTAAACACTAAAAAGTGTATAATTAAGATATGATCAACCACATATAGGCCTCATACTTTAAGTAGTATTAGAGCTTCTTTCAATTCCTTCCATTCAGAAAAGGTTTTGTTGATGAATAAAACATTAGACTCCATAAGCAAGTCCTCAAGTATACTGCTGTTGTATTTTGGTGTGGGCAGTAAAACACCTCCTAATAGGAAAATCACAAAGGATGTAAGTATGGCAGTAGGCGGTAAAACACAAAGAATAATAGAAAATAACAACAACCCAGTAGAATCCCACATAAGCAGGGTCTGGACAAAGAATAATAGAAAATGTTTGCACAAAAACTACTACCAACCTTGATTATGAGAACGGACATTGTTCCGCTCCAACCGCAGCTTTGATGGATTAAACAAAGAAGTTGCCACGGGGATTATCCTTACAACAAATCCAGTCTTTTCAACTAGCTTTGTAGCTATAAAGAATTAATGATTTCTCACTTAGTTAAAGAGATTGAAACACGTATATCAGTGGATAGTCTCAATAGCAACAACATGCACTCAAAACAACAATACCCATTGAAGTAAATTATAGTCAATGCATAGAATGAAAACCTGGGCAGACTACAAGTATCGGTTTCCGAGACTCATTTTGAAAAGAAGACCACCTCAAATTTTCAAACTGTGGCAAAACCTTCAGATGCTTCTTGATTTTGCAAAGATAGAGGTATCTTTTGGCATGATACCGATGGTTCAAGTAGTCTTTCTCATGAAAGCATCCCTGCCGAAAGAGACATCAAAGACATGCACTGCATAATTAAAAGGTGTAAGCAGCTAGTAAATACAAAGTAACACTGGAATTTTTAAATTATGTGAATTGAAGTTTCCAAAAACAAAATTCAAAGTATAAACCTGCCAATGTGCAACCGAATTTAACTATCCCACAGACAAAAAAAACAAATACAGAACTGTTGCTCTAGCAGTTAAATGTAAGTGGTGTAACCCAAACTACAGAGCAATAGTAAAGCTAGGAAGATATTACTTTTCTGTGGATGCTTCTACTCAGGGCATAATCTGCCTGTCATAAGTGGAAAAAGGAACTGTTTTTAGCTTCATGCCTACACTATCAAATTTCATGGAAAAACTATTTCGTTAAGTGGAAGTTCCTTTGAAACGCCACATGCACTTGACCATATGCGTGATGAAAATTGAAAAGTTTGGCTCTCGTGTTGAATTCTTAAACAGTCATTGAGGTGTGTGCAGCTTTTGCATGTAGATTCATAAGAATTTCTCCATTCAGAATCCGGAGTGACAATGTCAGCTTATTGTGACCTTTTGATTTACTGCTGAAATTTTTATAGGGGTGTCTTCACAAGCATGCCGGGAGGATTATTTTACATTTCCTGCCCCTTGCATATGCAATGAGCCTATTTTTGGATTCAAGCCTCAGTCACATAGGAATAACGAAGCAACTTTAATGTAGTTACCATACTAAATTTAAAACAATAACTCACATCACAGCATTTCATGCAAATTCAAAATTGCTAGAAAATAAATTCTGCAGAATGAGTATGTTTAAAAGCATATGCCCTCACACACAGCATACCTTTGGCAAGCGAAGTAAAAGATCCACACTTATGTCAGGTTTTACAACGCATTGCATAGCATAACTACCGCCAATTTCCATTGACAGTGGCTTCTTAAACGTAAACTCAACTTTATCAGCATTAATGTCTCTAATGAACCCCGGGGCTAAATCAGCAGTAACCTGCCCACATTTTTCAGAAACTTAAATTTTAAATAAAAAAGAAGAGAATGAAACGACAGTGCGCGAGCTCATATAAACATGAATATCGATTCTTCAAACCGGTCGTGAAAATAAAATTACCTTGTCCTCGGGGATTTTGTCGATAGCATCTTTGATAGAGCAAACAACGTCGTCAATAATTTTGGTGTTCGCCGGAGAGTAATCAAACTGGACCTCTTTCAAAAGCTCTGAGATCCTCATATTCATTGAATCCATGGAATCTGAAGCCATTGTTCTACGCAGCTGGGAGCTTCTACCTCGTCTTTGATTCGTTAATTGCGCAGAGTCTAGGGTTTTTCTAAAACCCTGATTTTAATTTACCCGCTAAAACCAGGTATCCAGGAACCCGTTGGAAATTAGAATTGGGCCTTTCACCTACCAGACTTTCATGGTGGGCTTAAAACATTTAATCTGATTTGATTTATTTATAATAAAAATAAAAGAGAGAATTTTGTGGAAGTCCGTGTACATATTACTATTTAAAAATATTCAAATTAGTCTTCGTATTCAAAATCGAAGCAATTAGTCTTTGTACTATTTTTTTTGTTCAATCAAATACTTTTCTTCCCTTCTCCCTTATATATTGTTCCAAATTCTCAACGATACATCTAATTTTATTTTAGATGACAATAAAGAGTTGTCTTGAAAAAAATTTATACTCATTTTTAAAAAATATTATGAACAATATACATTTATTTATTTTATGAAAGATACAATTATTTATTATATAATGACTAAAATTAGATTAAGAGTATGAATGGTTAACTTAAAGAATACTCTTATATCATCTATAGTAAAAATTGAAGTATCACTATGAATTTAGAGCAATATAGAAGTGACATTATCACATGATTGAACAAAAGAATAATACAGAAATTAAATTGCTTTGACTTTGGATATAGAAACTAATTTGAATATTTCTAGATACTATAGCGAATTCTAAGATACTTTATCCTAAAAATTTGTAAAGAACACACACTAAGGGGCTGTTTGTTTCAGCCTCTTAATGGTTCAGATGTCTGAATGGTTCAGCACTTAATGGTTCAGACTGTTTGTTTCAGTCTCTTAATGGTTCAGATGTCTGAATGGTTAAGAGATTTGCTTCTGAATGGTTAAGTATTATACAGAGTCTGAATGGTTAAGACCTCTTATCTGAATTGATCAGACATTTGCCTCTGAATAGTTAAGCAATATACTAGCTCTTAATGGTTCAGACCTCTTACTGGTTCAGTACTTAATGGTTCAGACCTCTTACTAGTTCAGCACTTACCGATTCAGAAGTTGCCAAACAACCCCTAAATCATGACAAAAAAAATTATTTATTTCTACCAACTCTTTAAAAACTAATTGGTGTTAGAAGAGGTGCATGTCCTAGCTTTATAGTACATTCAGCACACAAATGTCTACGACATTCAATTGTGACTTGGACAAATAGCCTCTACCGCTTGACAATTGATGCACACATGGCCAACAATCCCCCCCCAGCAATTGCTCCTGTTGGGAATCGAACTCGTGACTTTAGCTTTGATACCACTTGTAGGACATCGGATGTTACCAACCTTTCTAAAACCAATTGGTATTAGAAGAGGCACATACCCTAGCATTATAGTGCATTCAGCATAGAAGTGCCTACGACATTCGATTGTGACTTGGCTACATAGCCTCTGCCGCGTGACAATTGATGCACACATGGCGAATATGGTGTATAGACGATGCTCATAGAGGCCCTTGTACCGCACTAGGTTGGTAGTGTTTTCCACTATCTGAAATTCATTGGCATTAAAAACAATGGTGCAATTGTTATCTTTGGTAAAACAATGGACAGATAAAAAAATAGATGTATAATGAGGGTGGGGAATGGCTATTTACTATTGGATGTAACATCCTAATCTGTCCATGTCTGCAGCACCTTTCGGACTAAAAGTATAAACTTGATAATCGTAAAATTTAAAACATTTCGAATATCTTTATTTATCATAAATAATATTCAATACATAAATTATAGAAATACAGAGTATTTAATAATGTGGAAGCGAATTTAAAATATGTCTTATGATAATCACAATTAATTATTTTATATCTTTAAGATAATAATTTAAATCCACAAATCCATCACTACCGTCTCACCCCATCTGCCACCAGGAATATGTCACTTCATTCTTTTTGTTTACCTGCGTGTAGCAAATTCATAATCTAAATTGATAACCTCATGCAATAATAAAATGTTTAAATTAATAAAGAATTTGTCCCAATTTAAATAAATATTTCTAACAAAAATAAATTTTACAAAGAAGGGGTGCTTTTAAGTTTTACAATGACTGAGGGCTGAGTATTATTTGAAGTTTGTACTGTGAGCGATACACTGCACCAAACAAGGCGTTTAGTGCTTTGTCATTGCATTCTGCTGCCGCCGCCTCGTCTTTGCTGTATTCCTCAAATGCTTTGAGAATTCTGACATTTGATCCTTCAAATGTCTTCACAGGTGGCTTCCAGCCAGTCTCAATGCTCCTCGAGACCCTTCCTCGTTGTGATTTGAGGAATGTCTTCATGCGCCCCTTCCAGAAATTATAATTTGGTCCCCTCAAGAGTGGAGGTTGTTGAACATTAGCTACTTCTTCCATGTCCCCCATGAGGGATCTTTAAGCTGATAGCTTGAGCTTAACTTGCTCCAATACCCATTTAAAATTTGTGGGGAGTGCAGCAGTCAACCTAAGTAGTCAGCACCAATAAAAATTGTCACATAAGATGCTATAGCACTATCACTGTATATGATGACAGACAATGGGCTATACCAACCGTCACACGCACACACAAAACAATAAAGAACAGTACACACAACACACAAATTGTTTACGCAGTTTGGAGCAAAATCTCCTACATCTGTGAGGCCCACGTCAGTGTAACAGGCTTCTCACTATCTCACAGTAGAGTTACACCCTCAATAACTAAAGACTCGATCTAAGTCTTGACCTAAACTCTAACTGAAAGGTAATGCATCAAACACGATTTGTGCAAACACATTAAGAAATGTAACACTTATCAACTTATCTGACTCAGTGGCCTGCGCCCCAGAATAACTCGTATCAACTTCTGAAACGCTCATTGAACCTTCAATACCTCCGTGTGTTGTAAACCTCAACCAGTCATCATCAATGAATAAACTTTTATCAATATCTCAAGACGATGACTGACCAACGAAACTCTCTCAAATATATTCACTCTTCTCAAATTTTTGTGTTCATCCGCCACCTCAATTTAACAGCATTGCGTTATATTTACATGAAGCAAACCCTACGAAAGTCCCAGTTTAACCAACTTCTTGACACGGCTTAGAGTCTGAGTTCAACCCAGTCACGTGAAGCAGCTTTGATTGTTTAATGCAGTGTCCATCCGATGCGAAACTCTTGGTGTCGAGACGTGGCTTATACAAACTGTATTTTCAGGAGTTTGGATTCTAGGACACGGCTGCTACGATATGTTTTATTATGCCCAGACCTCTTTGTGAAGAAAAACTCTTTATAAGAAAATGATAATTTGTGGAGTGACGGACAGGACAGCTCTATTCTCAACACGGCTAAACACAAAAAATACTACAAAACACGATTTTGTCAAAAAATAATGCCAACTATAAAATACAACTAGGGAACCAACACTGATATGTCTGAGGAAGAAGAAAGGGAAATGACTTAGGTTAATTAAAAATACGAGTATTAAAATGGGATATACTCGTAGAATAATTAAAAATAAATACTTTGTATATTATGGACAAAAGTTTGGGTAATCGATTTTACGGCAGGAGCCCTAACCAAAACCGAAATCAAAAAACCGAAATAACCAACAAAAAAATAAAAACTAAAACATAACCGAAACCGAACATCAGTCGGTCCAATTTTCATTCAGCGGTTGAACGATCAAGTTTGTTAAAATGCTCACTCCTACCTCCACCACTTGAAGAGTCTTACACATGTTTGGAGAACAAAAACGATACAAATTTGAATATCTCCAGATATCAAAATCTTTTTTTTTGTGTTTGGTGAAACCTAGAGAGATTTCAAATTTAATATCACCAAATATCACAAACTCTCCAAATGGAGGGTTTTCATATCTCCTAAATTTGGGAGATATCAATATATGAGTTTGATTCCTCCCTCAACCTTCGACCACTCCTCGCCACCAGTCAACCACCCCTATTGTCGGTCACCATCATTTATCACTTATTAAATCAACAACAACCACCTAGTTGAATATGACGAAAGTAAAGTTTGGGGAGGGTGTGTGTACCAGACCTTACCCTTACAACAACACATCCAAGCTCAAGGCACCTACCTAGCTACTCTAATCCTAGCTCTCCGAACGCTTCTAAGGTCATATCTTCAATAAAGGCAAGAAATTCTAAGTAATATCTATAGAAATCATCCTAAATAGGACTAAAACATAGAGAAAAGTACTAAAATAGGACTTACGTGTTTTTTTCGAAATAGGACTTTGCACTGTGGTAATATGACTTTGCCCTGTTGTAATGTGACAGTGTACATGTGCAAATTACTATACTTTTTTGGTAATGTATATGGTCATGTAAGTCCTATTTCGGGAATAAAAACATGGAAGTCCTATTTTGGTATATTTTCAATGTTTTAGTCCTACTTTGTTCTTTCTCCCTAATATCTAATCACCTCCTTCGAACTCTTCACATATCTACCACCCCTTCCCCTACCAACGCAAGCCTCGTGCATCTCAGCATTCTGCCGTAACCTACTCTTCTTAGATTTACTCTTATCACTTATAAAATCATGATTTCAAATCTTTCCAAACAACTTGAAGTCAAATTTTAAAATCTTATCATTTCTTTCAAATTTCAAAATACATAGTAAATCATATCTTCAAAACTCACCTAACGATCCCATTAGGTACTAATGGCGCTGCTGGAACCAGAACATGTGGCTCCGCGAGCTGGCTGGGCACTGCCAACTCAAGATCGGGCCTGCCACTAAAATGGAGATTTTCAATAATATTTAATTCCTAGTATGAAAACATATAACAACAATATTTTGTAAAACATATAAATAATCTTACAAGTACTCTTGCAAAAGGTATACGAACGGCTCTTCCATATTTTCATTTGTTATGGCCAAAACCTCAATGTATTGATTACCAGAACGGGCAACTATCATCTGCGGTTCAATCACTTTCGCATCAGAGTCATTCTTGTTTCCAAGAATGGCAAAACGATTAAGAAAATCATTACCTTTTACCCTAAATTCAAAAGAAAACATTAATGGTGTTGGCAATGTATAATTAATTTGATACAAGTTTAAAATATTAACTAACCATACAACAAAGCAGATCCAAAATTGTAATCTCTCTAGAGTTTCTAAGTTAGTTACGTCCAGCATAATCATCACACCATCTGCCTCATTTCTACAATCAAAAGTAAATACATATGTTACCACAATTATAAATAATAGATCCTTCGCCCCAAAATTATCATCTCACTTCTAATAACTTTTAAATTCCAATCTCTTTAAAAATCATTTTATTAATAAATCGGTAAAGAAATTTACATATACTTCTACCAAATATCAGCTCACAAAAATATTTTAATTTTGAAAATAATCAATAAAAATACCCAAATAAACAAAGTTATTAAGATGTCAGATTAGTAACATATAATTTTGGAATGAAGAGAGTAGAGAGTAACATATAAAGAAGGTAGGTAAGGGGTCATTTACAATGCATGTGCATAACACTGATCATATCCACCATGACGAGTCATAACATCGGCTCCAATGGTGGATACGATCAGTGTTATGACTCGTCATGGTGGATACGATCAGTGTCATGCATATGCATTGTAAATGACTTCATCGCCTACCTTCTTTATATGTTACTCTCTACTCACTTCATTCCAAAATTATCATCTCAGTTACTAATGTGGCATCTCGATAACTTTGTTTATTTGTCTGTTTTTAATTGATTATTTTCAAAATTAAAATATTTTTGTGAGATCTAATTTGGTAGTAGTTTTATAATATGTAAATCTCTATACCGATTTGTTAATAAAATGATTTTTAAAGAGACGGGAATTTAAAAGTTATTAGAAGTGGGATGATATTTTTGGGGCGAAGGATCCATTATTTATAATTGTGGTAACATATGTATTTACTTTTAATTGTAGGAATGAGGTAGATGGTGTGATGATTATGCTGAACGTAACTAACTTAGAGACTCTAGAGAGATTACAATTTTGGATCTACTTTGTTGTATGGGTAGTTAATATTTTAAACTTGTATCAAATTAATTATACATTGCCAACACCATTAATTTTTACTTTTGCATTTAGGGTAAAAGGTAATGGTTTTCTTAATCGTTTTGTCATTCTTGGAAACAAGAATGACTCCGATGTGAAAGTGATTGAACAGAAGATGATAGCTGCCCGTTGTGATAATCAATACATTGAGGTTTTTGCCATAACAAATGAAAATTGGGAAGAGCCGTTCGTATACATTTTGCAAGAATACTTGTAAGATTATTTATATGTTTTACGAAATATTGTTGTTATATGTTTTCATACAAGGAATTTTGGCTCCATCTCCGATGGAGCCAAAATTTCACTATTTTTTGGCTTTGGGTGTGATGGAATAAATCAAAATGGATCTCTAAACTATTTGCGCTTCTTTAATTAATGAAGTAGCAGTTAGTCAAGCAATGCAACTTTCGACGTTGAGCCGGGGGTCTCTTTGGAAACAGCTTCTCTACTTTCGAGTAGGGGCAAGGTCTGCGTACACACACCCTCCCCAGACCCTACTCTTGTGGGATTTAACTGGGTTGTTGTTGTTGTTGTATGTTTTCATACAAGGAATTAAATATTATTGTAAATATCCATTTTAGCGGCAGGCCCGATCTTGAGTTGGCAGTGCGATTAGTACCCAATGGGATCGTTTGATGAGTTTTGAAGATATGATTTACTATGTATTTTGAAATTTGAGAGAAATGATATGATTTTAAAAATTAAATTGAAGTTGTTTGGAGAGATTCGAAATCATAATTTTATAAGTGATAAGAGTAGACCTAAGAAGAGTTGGAGGTTGCAGGATGCTCATACTCCAGTGCGGAGATGCGAGGGGCTTGCATTGGTAGGGGAAAGTAAGAGAAGGGGCGGTAGGCATGAGAAGAGTTGGAAGGAGGTGATTAGATATGACTTAGGATTTCTTGCCTTTATTGAGGATATGACCTTAGAAGCATTCGGAGAGCTAGTTCATTCTACGCAATGGAATAAAATACAGGGTATGTGTACACATACCTTACCCCTACTCGAAAGTAAAGAGGTTGTTTCTAAGAGACCCCAGCTCGAAACACGAACACAAAATACAAAGAGCAAATTAAGGTATGGGAAGACATCGAGAGATAGAAAGCTGCAATAAGTAAGAAATCAAACACGAGTAACACGACAAGAGCCACAACAAAGACCTAAGGCCCAATCGACCACCCAACTACTGTAGTTCTAGATCTCTAGATGGTCCTATCTAAGGTCATATCTCGAGTAAAGGCCCAGAACTTAAGTAATGTCTAATCAGCTCTCTCAAAATCTTTGTAGGTCTACATCTCCCCCCACCCCAGCCCACTACCCTAAGTCTCTTCAAAAAATATACTCCCTCTATCCCTTAAAACCTTTGTTTTTTCTTTTTTCCTTCGTTCAAAAAAAATCACTTTCTATTAAAAAACCACTTTGACCTCTACTAATCATTACCCTACCTATCACATCATATCTATTAACTAATAATTTACCCTCACATTTTACTTTTACACATCACATCAAGGGTAATTTCAGAAAATCAACACAAAAATATCATTTTCTTAAATCCATTAAAAGTCAAAACGAGAAAGGTTTTAAGGGGGGAGGGAGTGATATAGACATTAAGCAATAACTTACCATGAAGGTATCTGGTGGAATCGATATTGACCACTTGGGCGTCTAAATTTCTGGATACAAAACTGCTTTTTCCTGCATGGCGCAAAACATATGAAATAAAATGTTGGGGTTAATGTTTACCGTAAATTATAAGAGTAGTGCATACCAGTCTGTCTGTGCCTCTTCAACAATAATGATTTTAAGCGGACCTGAAAAATAACAATGAAATACAATGTTAATAATAAATACAATGATGATGTTCATGTATTGGAGTAGCATTCAAACTTTAACACAAATCTTATGAACGTATAAATATGCATGCATGTGTGCGTACCCGATTAACAGCATCAGGTGGTGGCGGCGATGGCGGTGCTATTAGCGGTGGTGTTAGTGCTAGAATCCAATGATTACCATTAGCTGAACCATTTGTAGCAGCTGAGTGCTCTTCATCATTCGCAGCCAAATTACCATAATGCAAAGGAAATCCAACTCGACCATTTTGCGATCCCGAACTAGAAACCTGATATTGATCAAATTTTTGTGCAGCGAATATTGACAGAGACGTCAGTCGCTGTTCAATGAACATATTTAAAGGTAAACAAAATTACAAACTTCCCAATTTGTCTCTGTATCCCAACACCATCATTAATACATCCATCTGGGTATTATGGTTTCCTTGTAATGGATAATAATAAGAGTGATTTTTTTTGTACATTCACATCAACTTCAAAACAAGAAAGCATGTACATAATTAAATGAAATGGCAGTAAAAAGTGATCTGGTGCAACCTTACCCGCACCATCAACTTCAAAACAAGAAAGCAAAAAGGATCACTCGCTCCAGCTTCCCTCACATTGACCAAACCAGCACTCTCCAACCAATAGTCTATGGCTCCACCTGGTGCAACCTTACCCGCCATGTGCTTTGGTAGATGATCTACTAGTAATCCTGTGCTACCAAGTTGCTTCGTGGCTTCTGTGCTAGTTCAGGCCGAAGAATTAGGCTATTAGCTGTTGCTCCTTTCCCCTTCATTACCTCCAGAAGGGTTCTCCCTGCCATTGTATACCTACAGTCACACAGTGCACATTGAAATCACACATTCAGATCAGTATGTATTAGTGATCCAAGAAATTTAATTTTTGGTGCAGACCTTTCTTAAGATCATCCATCTTTGGGGTTCTTGTACAGTACTAGTAGGTTACATATGCTCTCAAGATGATGAACTGTGGCAGAATTCACACACCAGAAGCTCTCAAGATGCTTCTTCTCTGCAAACTCCTGAGAAGAAACTTGCCTGAGAAGCACTTTATCAGCCAGAGCAGTTCCCGTTACAAACTTCTCATCCAATGCTGGATACATTTCTCTCGTGCTATTGCATCGTGAACTTGTTCTGCAGGTGATTCGTAGCAGCAGATGGAAGAGATTCAGCAACAGGAGGGACTGAAATCTGAACCAAACCAGTGCCCAAGTGGTTGGGTTTAGTGCTTATGATGCTAGCTTTGGACAAGGAGGGATACTCTTCTTCATCTATGTGTACCATCATCATCATCATCATCATCATCATTTTGAATTTATGAATTTATGAATTAATTGAATTTCCATACGCCAAATTAATTGAAGTCTGGGGAAGTCGGTTAACCATAATTTCCAAAAGGGTAGAAGTTGCAAATATCTGACAGAAGGCATTCTGTCGAACACCTAATGTGCACTACTCTGTGGAGGCTTAATAAACAGAACATCAAATATACCTCAATTCCATTCCAGGAGGCTTCCGAACCACAAGTCAAAAATAAGTTTGACAGTATACAACTACTAACTCCGTCCTAATTGTTCAAGGCTGATGATAGAGCTCCCAAGGCTGATCCATTTGAGAACATCATCTCGCTCCTAGAGCATCAAACTTCCCCTTTTCCGAAAAACAAACAAGAAAAAAAAGCCTAAAACCCTAACAACACTATGAAAACCAGTTTCCCGACCAACATTCACGGAACAAATGTGGACATCGCCGCCGGCCAGTGTTTATTCATAATCATGGCCGGACAATTTATTCAGACGAAGTTATTGAGAGAGATATTGAGAGAGAGAGCTGCAGACCGTACGTAGCAGCAGGAGAAATGGGGAGAGTGGTGCGTGGGTATGTGAGTTATTTTTAAATTAATACTCCCTCGGTCCCGAAGTATTTGTCCAATTTTGACTTTTGGAGCTGTTCATCTAAGCACTTTGACTCATCAAATTCTCTCAATGTGTAAGCTTAAATATAGTCATGTGTGATCTTGTTTGATTTGTCCTAACATATAGATTATTAACATATAATTTCTATAATTTTTTAATATACAAATTACAAGATAAAATGGATTAAAGAAGTGTATTGGATGGTGTGTAAAAATGAAAGTGGACAAATACTCTGAGACGGAGGTAGTATAAATAAGTGTTTTGTTTTACGGAGTAAATGTTTTAAAATATTGTGTATCTCTGACTTGCTGACTCGTACGCTCATGCATATTACTTTGGTTGCGGTGTTACATTTTTTCTACAGATAGAAGTTTATACTCCCTCCGTCCTATAATGATCTTCCCCGTTCGCAAAACGAAGAAAAATCCCAAGTTTTTTCAATCTATTTTATTTAAATATTGGTATAGAAATAAAAAATAAAACATACATATTTAAAAACTACACCAAAAGTTCAACAAAACAAGTAGTGACAAGAATATTTTATTTTATCATGTAGGTTATGAAAAAACACAAATAAACATAAATTCCCGTGAAGTTGGAATAGTGCTCTGGGAAGATCATTATAGGACGGAGGGAGTATTTGACTAAGATAAATGTCAAATGAGAAGATAAAATGTGGTCGAGGAGAATATATATTTAAAAATTATATTAAAAGATATGCAAAATTAGATGTATGATTATATTATTTTATGAAACGAAAATTGTAATTGGGGAAACAATGTAAATAAAGTTTGACTACGAGAATAGTGAACGAAAAAAATTATAAAGAGAGGGAATTTAAATTACGTGAATAATACAATATAAAAGAAAGCATTTTTAAAAAATAGCTAACATCTGTTCGATGAACACATGTTTATTTAGAGTAGGTAAGAGTTAAGCACGTAGGAAAGAAAAAAAAAGAAAAAGTCACTGACCTGTGTTTGATGAACACATGTTCAATGAGAACTTTTTAGGGTATCACTAAAGTGTGTTCTATGAACACATACTTCACTAATAGGAATTTCATATTTAAAATTTTCACTGATAGATGATTGCTCCTATAAGAATATTATCGTACGTCTTTTAATTACAGTATTTTCAACTTACTGTACCAGATTCACTCCATACTGCTTATTGTTAACTAACCATATATTGTTAGTTAGTGCTTATTACTATCTGTTGTTACTGTCGGTTATAGTACTGACCATTAAAAGAGACATATTACTAACTTAGTGCATTAGGCTATGGGGTGTGCCCAATGCCTTCCCCTTTCTCCCCCCTTCTTCCAAACTTTTCCTTCTCATTCCTTTCCCAAGAAAGAACATATCTAAAGTTTTTTTTACTATTTTTTATACCTAAATTGAAAATCAAACCGAAACTAAAACTTTGGTTCAATTCGATATTGTTTTACATTGAAAGAATATGTCAACCGTTAGGTAATCAGTTTGGTTTTTTATTTTTTTAAAAAATAAGAATTAGAACGAAGTATATTCTAAAAAAATTTAAAAATCATTTATAAAGTAACAACTTTAAACCTGCATTTAAACATAGAAGATTTGTTTAATGAAATTGTAACATAAATTATATCGTCTCATGCAAATATAATAAAACATCAATTTTTAATGTTAGCATTGTTAGGGTTTTAGTGTTTTTATTCTTAATATTTTTACTTTTTAAGTTTAAATTAATTTTTTTAAAAGAGCATAGCTTTTGTAGCGAAGAAACTTAAAATGTTCAAAATGAATATAAAACAACGTAAGCAAACACGTATGGAGTAATATGTAATATTGTAAGAGATCTGGGAAAATCACTCTTTTAATCGCTTTATTCTGTTCAATTTTCTAGGGTGAAAACCAAATTCAAACAATAACAACTCAATTTGGATTAGGCTGTTACCGATCCAATTTATTATAATTTTTTCGGATTAATTTCAATTTGGTTTTGGTTTGTGATTTTGATTTTTCTATTTCAATCCCATCTCGACCTTATAAAATTTACCATCCCAATTACAAGAATAATTAAAGGTCTCATTATTGTAAGCGTTAAGCTTGTAACTAGTCCTAGGATTGTCCGTGTCCAACGAGCGTTCAAGTAGTAGCAAAACTCCATTAAAAAAATAATTTTCATGAACCTATTTTTTCACTGATTGTTCGCACAAGAACATAATTGTGGAGTGCTTCTACTGTGGACCTTAATCCCATATAAATTATACTCCCTCTGTCCCATTTTAAATTGCTTGTTTAGCTTTTTTTTCCGTCCCAAAATAAATTGTCTGTTACTTGTTATCGTAAACTTTTAAAAGTAAAATATCTAAACTACCCCTAAAATAAGTCACTCTTCTCCATTTTATCTTCTCATTCATCGTTACCCCTCCTAAAAAGTAATGGCAATTTCGGAAAATCAACTCTATTTTTTCTCCTCCTTAAATATGCCCAAAAGTCAAAACAAATGATTTAAAATGGGAGAGAGGGAGTAACAATGCACACAATTTATAACATAAGCAAATTAATAAAGAAAATAAATTAAATGAATGTTTATCATAACGTTATAAAAATGCTTATGTAGCTATTAAGAAAGTTCATAAATTCTTAGATACACCTAAACAAATTTACATGCAGTAAGATGTTAGTAGCATATACGGAGTGTGTACATGTACGCACGCGCGCGCTTTGACAGCAAACTACTCGGAAGCAAGCCATCGTTCCAAGGCATCATATGTTCGTTCCTTTTTCATTCCATAATGTTCTCCTCTGTAAGTTGCAAGCCATGGAATATGGAATCGAAGCATTCGTAGATTGTTGAGACAAAATGCACGAAAGGAAGATAGATAACAAAACTGTTTTAATCAGTACAGTACCTGTCTTGTTTACTCAGTGTATATATATATATATAGAGAAAGACTTGATGAAGATGGAGATGATTTGATGATTGATGGCTCTATCTGAAATACAATTGAATTGCCTCTAGCGTCTTTCCTTTGGTCTCGGGCACCCAGAGGTATACGAAAACTGTTGTGAAGGCTGACACTAGAGCGTACAGGGTGAACGTTCCTGTTTATGAGATTTGATTTCTTAGCTATTATTACCTCATGACAGATCAGTTAAGAGACAAAGAACACAATGTTAGCTCTCAAAAAGTATGTTATGGGGAGGGTGTGTATGCAAACCTTACCTCTACGAGGTAGTAGAGAGGTTGTTTCCAAGAGATCTCAGCTCAAATACAGAAGTACGGACAAAGAAATCACAAAGGCACAAAAAAAGTACGAGCATAGATCAAAAGAAGCATACATACGGATTACGGACACTAACAAGCAGACCCAAAGCACAAAAACACACGATCACAAGGCTTTCATATGCTTTAGAATCTTTAGAAAAAAAATCCAAACGTTCAAAATGAAATTCAAAAATATTTTATAATGATATTAAGACGGCGTTTGGACATGCTTAAACAAAAGGAGTCAAAATCAGACACCACCAAACACGCCAAACTACTTCTACACAAAATCGAAAGTTGAGAATCAATCTCAAAATCAGTGAAACACCCTCTAGTAGTAGTGATGCAATAAGGTTTTTCTTCTTCTTAGGCACACTTAGTTCTACTTAGTAGACACCAAGCGCTTTTTATAACATTGAGAGAGAGAGGGAGAGGGAGGGAGGGAGGGGGAGAGAGAGAGAGAGAGAGAGAGAGAACCTCCTTTGCTCCAATCCATAAGCAAGTTTGCAGTCATTGTGACAACCCAGGCGGACATCCAATTCGATAGTGTTGCCACACTACCGCCTAGACTTTTGACATTTACCGGCAGTATCTGGCATGGCACAGCTTCAAAATGCATGAGTATACATACAATAACAGGATCATAGTGTATAAAAAATCTTATAAATTCCAGAAGCTAAGAAGTTCTTTACTTTTATGTTTTCCTAATTTCTGATTGTTTTTGATAAAATTTTATGATTGGGTAGAGGTTGTTCAACTGATTCACAAGACACTTTGGCTGAACCACACTAAACAATTGAACTCGATCAATTAACTAGCCCAACTCAAGATCTTATTAACCCATCAATTGATTAACTAGTCCGACTCAAGATCTTATAAACCCATCATTCTTCTTTAAATTTCCAATGTGAAATACTAACAGTTTTCTATAGCTTACCATACTGCTTTCTCTTTCTTGTTTTCTTTGTTTTCTAATTTGTTTTTCAGATATTACCATAACACACATGTAGTGCTGGGACCACCTGCGGTTCTGTGATGGGCGATGGCTATTGGTGGTGGTGTGGTAAATGGAAGCAATGGGGTTGGTCGTGGTGGTGAACAGCAATTGCGGTCAATGGTTGCAGTGGTTGCCGATAGTGGTGATTTGTAGTGGTGAGTGGTGACAATAGTCGGTAAGGTGTTGTTGAGGATGCCAATGGCTGATGACACTAACAATAGTGGCACTGGTTATTGCCTTATCAGTGATATCGATGGTTACCAATGATAGTGGCATGGGAGGTCATTTGAGTGCATAGATAGTTTTAGTTGCCATCAATGAATATTAACTTTGGAAAATCTATTTTTGATTTCGAAAAAACATAAAAAAAAAAGGTGTCTTCTAATTTTCTAAGACTAGAGAAAAATCAGACAACAATTTGGTGTTTTAACAAAATTTAAAAATTGGTGAAGTAAAGATGTTGTCTCTGTTCTATTTTCTGAATTTGGAAAGTAGAAAAAGTAAAGGTGTTTAACTGAAAAATACAGTTAATAAACACCTCCCAGCTAATAATGTCCTTAGAGATGAACAAGTTTCAGTAAAGACTAATAAAAACAGCATGCTTGATCTTGTGAACAAAAAGAAAAATAAAATAGAGTCAAGTTAAATTTCGGTAATCTCCTTCACGATAAATGCTTATTACCCGTACTACAAATTTACAGTATATACAATCAGTCATTTGAATTTGGGTTAGGAAAAATAATGAAAAGTCTTGTCATACCTCGGACATTATAATCCACGGGACACCACCCAATCCAAGCCCAAAACCAATCACCAAAATCTGCCAAATTCAAAACATTAGGACGGACACAAGGGGAGGACGCAGGGGAAGGGGAAAGAAGCAAAGTGTTGTTTGGCAAGATGTAATGAAAGTAAAGTAATACCAGCAGCCCAATCACCGATATCACTCCAAAGTGGGAGTGCAAATGCTCTGGAGTGCAATCCTGTGTTTGCAAAGCCAAAAAACATTAAATAACTATTTAAGAAATGATTTTTTTCCAACCAACATTATGCAATAACAATTTATAAAACTTGCATTTGATGCTCAAAAAGACACCTAAGAAATATGGAGTAGGTGTTTGTGGGTGGGGGGGGGGGAGATATACAGACCTTCAAAAAGAATGCAGCTGCAACAAGGAGCGTTCCAAAAGTCATTGTTAATGCTGATATCTGGAGAAAAAGAAAGGGAAAAATTGTAATGTCTGCACTTTTGGCTCTTGTTGTTTTTCATTCAGAAAGTTGCAAGAAAATAAATAAGAAATAACTAGAAGGAAGTACAAGAAGTAGCAGCCGACGGCCAGCCCTTTCCATCAACAATGTAGCAACCACAGTCACAATAACCTAATTCAAAAATAATAAAAAAAAATCTTTCAACAACAAAACTGGGTATAGTCACAAATCCCAACTCCGTTGAGGTCTCAGAAGTAAAGATGTCTGCAAACTTTACTCTTGTAAAAAACAAAGGCACTGTTCCCATTCGACCTTGATGCATTGCTACATTTATTGTCAATAGTGACTCTTTTAGCTTCATGGAAAGTAAGAGGCTAAGAAAGTTTAAGGTTCCATTTTGATTTAGTCCAAAGCTAATATATTGTCAATAGTGACTCTTTTAGCTTCATTGACTACTGAAAAAAAGAATATTTTAGTTACCTGAATAGCCCCAATTCCAAAAGTTGCAGCTTTACTGGATGAAACTCCTATGGATATTGGAAATTACCAAACATTAATAAATTACACGTTTATGTTCAAAATTTCATAGCATTATGAGGCACTCAAGACTTATGGAACAAATGCCCCCAGTAACTGTCACTGCATCATTTGAAGATTATGAAGCTGAGAGAAGAACTCACCAGCAGACTCGAAGATCTTACTAGAATAGAATAAAACACTGTTGATTCCGCATAGTTGCTGGAGAGAAAGTAATCCAATGCCGATCTGCACTATGCATTAGCACCATATAAAGAAAAAGCATGAAAGTTTTAGCATGCTTTATAACAAAAAAAAATTTTGTATAAACAAAAAAAACTGATAAAGATGTTTATACAACCATGAATGTTTTACCATCAAAGGCAAATAATATCGCCGTTTCTTGAGTTCTGAAAACCGGACAGTACTTGAGCTTTTACCAGATGATGCCACTGATTTCTGTATAAAGGGATCATATTTCAACCTCACGAAATTCAAATACCACTAGCCCACTCTTCCATTATCTATTCATAAAAGATGTTCGTACAATAACATGCACATTCTTCTTATATATGCATCCGCGGTTATTTTAGTTTATCCCTCAACTAACCATGGTTATTTTCTTTGATACAGTTGATCCATACCCGTGTTTATTCTCTATATTGGATATTCACCATGCATAGGCTTGGTAATCTTTATAGTTTCCATTTCTAGCAAATTGTTTCCAGTTATAAAGTGTTAATACCTTGATATCATTCACTTCAGATGATATATCTGTATCAAATCCACGTAGAACTTGCAATGACATTTCGAAATCATTATTCTTCCCCACATTGGCCTGCATTATATACATTGAACAGGAGGCAAATAGGATGAATCAGCAAAAGTGAACCCTTGATCTAATAAAACTTTATGCACTTCATCAAGTAATTCCCATACCAACCAACGTGGAGATTCTGGTATAAAAAACAGACTGGGGATCAGTATTGTGCACGGTATCATCCCTGCACATAGTGACAGGACATTGCATAAAATTCAGGAATAAAATGTTAGGCATGTAAGATAAAGAAAGGTAAAAAAGTAACAACTCAATGACTTACCTATGACCGCAATCACTCTCCAAGGCAAAAAAAGTCCCAATAGATATGCAAGCATTATCCCAACTGTAATAAATAGCTGTCGAAAGAATAAATAAAACAAAATTCAAGCAATTTTCTTTGGAAAGTAAATGAATAACCTATCTAGGAATTAGGATGGACTAGTTTCTGAAGTAACTTCAAAACCAACCTGGACAGTGGCCACAAGAACTCCCCTAATGTCCTCAGGAGAAATCTCTGCTATATAGACTGGAACCTAAAAACATGAAAATGACATACTAAGGACTTCAATACTCTGTAATAATTATACAATACCAGAGTAGATCTCAAATAAATTAATTAAAAAGGCTGAAAAAGAATGTTCTTTAAAAAGGGTAGCTAGCTTACCACATAAGATATAATCCCAACACCAAAACCTGCCATTAACCTTCCCATGTATAAAAAAGATGCATCCTTTGAAAAGAAGATCAAATTAGTGTTTGAAGTAATCAAAGCCTTTCACAATTCCATCAAAATGACTATAGCAAAAAATATTTATAGAAAGAAAATAAACTTACTCGGGCAAATGAAATGGCAAGCCATCCTATTACATTAGGAATTGAAGCAACCATAAGTGTCTACACATTTTTGAAAACATTGAATACGGAGTATAATATAAAGACTTATCATATGTCTAAATATCATTTATTTTTTCAAGAAGTATAAAACCACAGGGTTTTCTAAATAAATGCTGTAAAAACCATGCGATGGGATATACCCCTTTTCGTCCAATGTGCTCTGATATCTGACCGCTAGCTATTGCTCCAACCATGGCACCCACGTTTGCTAAGGATCCAAACATAGAGTACTATGCCCCCACAGAAAAGGAAACAAGAAGTTTAGTTTGTAGGATTAATAAGCAAATATGTGCCATTAAAGAAGTGATTCAGTGATGATGAAGATTCAAATAAACCTCTGAAATGGTAAGTCCAAGATCTCCAATAATTTCATCTTGAGTGGGATTGGAGTAGCCACACTGCATCATTTGACTATTAATTATTACAAACAAAAAAATAGTCATCCTCACCACATATGCAAGTCATAATGATGGATCCATCTTCACTTTGTAGGGTGTGATATGATAAAATTTATCAGATATCAACTTTTATACGGAGTACACTTTTTCTTACTAAAGAATACTCCCTCCGTCTCTAAAAAAAAACTCCATATTCATTCTCTATTTTCTGCAATCATTTGTTAAAATAAAACACTCATCTGGCCTCATGTTTTGTATAGCTTTTATTTATGATCAAAGTGTAGGAAAAACATCAAAGTTCAAGTGTTGCAGTTATAAAATGGGTTGAACAGGAAATTGAAAAAAAAGAAAAATGGAAAAAGACTAGAGTAGAAGTAAACCATAGAAAATATACTAAAATAAAAGTTTCATGTTTTTATTCCCAAAATAAGAGTTAAAATCATATGTATTACCAAAAGTATTGTAATATGTCCATATAAAGTGCCACATTATCATAGTGCAAACTCCTATTTTGATAATTTTTCTATGTTTTAATCCTATTGAGGGTGATTTCTTAAGGGAAAAAAAACAGTAACTCTAAGTATCATACGGAGTAGACAAAATTGGGGAGGAAGAAAGAGTGTTAGGGTTCGCACATTAAAGCCGAACTGAATTGGGCCGAGAGAGACGATGAGGACGCAGAGGTAAACGGAAATGGACTCGCGAATCAGCTGGTTCGATGAGCCCAACATGCTTCCCTGTCTAGACCCCATCCGGTACCAGCTTCCGGTGTGGAGCAACGGCCGGCGAAGCCCATCCTCCACGATCTCGTCTCTGGTGCTCATCGCCGGCGGCGCGTGGGCGTCGTATAATCAATATGTCTCCCCGTATCTTTTTTTGTAAAAAATTATACCGGCTCTGATCATCCAGTAGAGCCGAGAGGTGGAGGAGGAGGAAGGGGATGATGGTTTCATTGGAGGGAGAGGATGTGAGAGAAAATCGCAACTACCACCTGCTACACGGAGATTTCTGAATTTGTTGGGAAGAAAATGGAGTTTCGGGCTGAGCATACGGGTTTGATTAACGCCTCAAATTTCAGCGGGAACCAAGTTCCCTATATTAACTACTTCAAAAATTTTACAAATACTTTTTCAACTTCAAAAACTTTATGAATAATTAGTTTTTTAGATCACGTTAACATTTTGTGATTGGTTCTTTCGTTAATTTTATCTTTTGTTCATGCATTTTCTACTTTCTATCATAGGTACATGTGAAGAACCTACTCCGGTATTTTTTTTATATAAGTCTATGGGTGGTCATGGATGTAATTTATGACGATCCGCGATATGATCGAAACCTATCAAGATCACTCTTATTCCAATAGTTCAGTATCAAAACGGAACGAATCCCAAAACCATTCATTACCATTATGTTTTGATACAGAACAGTACAAGATCATACACATGCTCAAATCGTGTCAAATATTAAACATGTATTCCTCAAATATTATTAAAACAATAACATACTTTTGTATGAAAAGCACTTTTAGCTATGTGCGCATTAATTGTCCCCGTCGCGGAGACTACTTGGGTCAAGTCACATTGAAATGTCGTGGGCGCCTTGTGTGTGTTGAATGCACTATAAGGCTACAGTATGTGCTTCTTCAAACACATATTAATTTTAGAAGAGTTGGTAGCACCTGAGGTCTTACAAGTAGTATCATAGCCAAGGTCAGGAATTCGATCCTTAACGGAAGCAATTGCTGAGGGGGAGATTGTTAGTTATGTGTGCATCAATTGTGTAACGCCCTGAGAACCGGTTTAGTAGTTGGCCGTTATTTTAGTAAAATAAATTGATTATTTATTGACTTCAAAATATGAAGTATTTGTAAAGTTGACCATTTTAATTAAAAATTAGGTTTTTGGGTAGATCTCATTAAATGGTGACCAACGATATATAGTTTGTTAAATTTAAACTTTTGTATACACCGTGATAAAGAAAATAGGCGTTATAGTTCAATAAATAAAATAAAGAATATTTAAAATATAATATTATAAACCTAATAACCAACACGGTCCTATTCCTATTCCTATTCCATTTGGAAGTCTAAAAGTCACCCAAACATAATCTTATATACGGAGTACTTATGTACATAAAGAGACGCGTTTCATCATCTTCCTCATCCTTCCCTGCGCGTCGGACCGGAATCAGGGGAGTTACGCCGGAGCTTCGCCCGAGTTTATCACCGGAGTTCTAAGCCGGATTTCTCCCACATTGATTTGTGTTCATCGCCTAACAATCGAGGTGAGTGAATTATCTCTCGTTAGAATTGATTCGTAGATTAGAATTTGTTGATATATTTTCGTGTGATTGATGATGAATTTGTGAATTGAATTATGAATCTCTTGAGGGATTGTCTCGGATTCGGGAATCTGGTTCATTGTTGGATTGTAGGATTCCTTCCTCTTTTGCTCTGTTCTGTTCTTCTATATTCTCTTTCTTTCTGGCCATTGTTTCTGCACTGTTTCCGCTGATCTAGATGCTACTGTTGGGATGTTGTCGGCATATTAGAATTTACTGATCGGACACATGCTGCCGCCCCTAAGATGCTGCTGCCACCGAGGGAGACCACCGCTGCCGGTTGTGGGTTGCCCTGCTGGAGATTTGGGCTGCCCGGTAGACAGTGGGAAGTTCAATGGTTTGCTTGGGGTTTTTGACTATCAATCTGTTTGGCCATAATTTGTTTATGTGTGATTAGTGTGCATCGTTTACCCAATGTGCCGACGATGGTGTGTAATAGGTTATGTGTTGGTTACAAAACTTATGGGTGATTTTGTGTACGGAATTGGAATTTAGGGAAAGACCACCTGGTATATCTGGGAGGTTGAGAATTGAATTATACGGATATGGATTAGGATTTAGGCATGGTGGGGCGAGCTTCGCATAACTCACAGGTCTTGGGTTAAAAACGTACGTACGGGAGTCATTAGCCTACCTAGGGATTCCTTTGTAGGGGCTCCAACCCGCCCGTTGAGGATTCTCTTTGGGTTTCATCAAGCGTGGCCTCGGGGGATCCGTCCGAGTGTCCATGGCTTAGTTAGTCAAAAGGAACCTTAGCCTATAGGGTTAAGTGTAGATGAACAACAGGAACTGAATATAAATAAATAGTTGATCATGATATTTGATGATGATATTTGCTGATTCTTCTGATGTTGTATGATTATATATTGATGGGTGCTAGTCTATGAGTTAGTTCTAGCGTTAGATACTTCCACTCTCCCTATTTTTACAGGTAGGGACAAGGATTGAATGAAGAGCAGCCTGGAGGACAGTGAAGCGTGATGCTGGTGGATGGCCCGATGCTATTTTATTTAAGTTAAATATAGTTTGTTGGATTTGTTTACTTAAATTATTAGAATGTTGAATGTTGTTTTGAAGGCTTCCGCAACGTTTCAGTTATTTACTCCGATTAAATGATGAATTGTTTTTAAATGAATATGAATGTTTGATTTTATTTCTAAGTGTTTTTAAAATAGTACGCTTGTGCATACCAAATTAGTGACAACCCGACTCGCTAACTCGTCGGTTCGGGTTACGCGGGTTGGGGTGTTACAAATTGTCCCGTGACGGATGCTCTGTGGGGCCAGTAACATTCGAATGTAGTGGCGTTTGTGTGCTGAATGCACTATAAGACTAAGGTATGCGCTTCTTCTAATTCCAATTGATTTTACAAAAGTTGGTAGTGCTTGAGGCCCTACAAGCACAACCTTGTTTAAAAAGTATTGATTTCAAATTTAAAAAAAATAATTAACATATAAAACAAAAATAAAGATAACGAGCTCAAATTTGTAAAATAAGACTTTTTTTCAATTCAAACAATATCCCAATATCAATAACTTCAAAAAAAATAATGCTCAACCCATTATAGTAGTAAATACGTAGTATGTAACAACAACAATAATAGTAAAAGAATATTATACGAAGAAAGAATATTACAATATAAAGTATTCTATATATGGTAAGATGAAGTAGGCAAATAAGAAAGAATATTACAAGGTTTGATTTAGTATTAACAATCTTTTACTTTAGACATTGAAGGAGGAGAGAAGAGCATCTATATGTCTGGTTGATTAATTAACCACATGCATGTGCTTTTGTTGCAGTCTACTCCATACATAAATAAAGCATTATGGCAGGGCACATCAAGTATATATATTCTAAGCCAACTGCAGTAGTGATTTCAATACCTTGTTGGACTTCTGAGAGTATATATGTTATGTTTTTAGCTTCTGAGTGATCTTGAAACTGACTAAATATTGGAGTTCTCACATCGAAAAATAAAGATGAATACCACTAGCCTATACAGAAAGTGAAGTCCTATCTATCAGCTTAAACTTTTGGTTTAGAATAGTGAATTCCGATTTTATATGCAAATAGTTAATTTTAACATGATATCGGAGCAGGTCCGGTCTAGATTCGATTCTTCCTGGTCCTTGGACATGGGTTTAGCAAAAAAAAAGATACCCATTTATTTATTTATTTATTTATTTTCTCATATTTATAGAGCTTAAATTAAATCTATATGAATACAAATTTCAAATTTTGCGGACTTTTATTTACAATGAATAAATAGTGTTATTCATCATCTAGGTATTGACCATAGAAAAAAATACCGGAGTAGAAGACTATTAAGTAATTAATTAATTATGTATTAATAATTGTACGCATTTTCAATGTTCTGAAAATAATTGGGACAAAGAAACAAAATGTTTATTGCTTGGGACTAAATGCTACAGTGCGTTACGACAAATGTGTTTGTAACCAAAGCTACTGCACACCTAAATGTTTTTACTGATAAAAATTATTTATGAGGGTCGGTTCAGGTGAGAACGCACCTTGGTGAAAGAAACAAGAATAAAATCTAGCCTTTGGATCTGATGCATCGTGCGGCTCAGATTGTATCCTGCACTCGGATTTTGAAATAGTGCATTTTCAAAGGTTTTTGGTGCATTTCAACATAATGCATTTTCAAACCATTTTGGTACAACTAATTTTGATGCAATCATGACCCTTGGATCTCACAATCTAAAGCAACAGATTTATTTTATTTCTTTAATAAGATCGCATTCTCACCAGAACCAAAATATATATATATATATATATATATATATATATATATATATATATATATATATATATATATATATATATATCTCGTGCGATCATATTCACACACATACCCGTGCGATCATATTATTCATTTACTATACAAAAATGCCCCACAGATTGACAAACACTTCATTTCGCTACATGGAGTGCCTCAAGAACCATGCGGCCAGCACCGGCGGCCATGCTGTGGACGGCTGCAGAGAATTCATGGCCGCCGGAGAAGGATCCTTGAAATGCGCCGCTTGCAGCTGCCACCGCAACTTCCACCGCAAAGAAACATGCGCCATTCATCATAATCATCATCAGCCCCGGCCTCCTCCTCTCCCCACAATGCAGCACCACCATTATAATAGTAACAATCATCACTGCGGCAGGAGTACTCCGGCGGAGCCATTGACCGGAGCTCCGGTGGAGTCGTCCAGCGCAGAAGATGGTAAGTCACTGGTGTCATCGGAACAGAGTGGCGGGTCAAAGGAGAAGAAGAAGAAGAGAAGAAGAAGGTTGAGAACAAAGTTTACAAAAGAGCAGAGAGATGGAATGCATGAATTTGCAGAGAGGATTGGGTGGAAGATGAGGAAGGAAGATGAAGAGGAAGTGCAGAAATTCTGCAGAGGAGTTGGATTGAAGAGGGATGTTTTCAAGGTTTGGATTCACAACACCAAACAAGCAAAGAAGAGGAAGAGACAATTGTAACTTGTAAGTAAAACACAGATTAAAAAAACCATCCATTCAAATATGAGGACTCAAGTCAAAAGATTTAATGGTTACCCATTTTAAGTGTTCTGAAAACAAAAATATGTTTTGAATAACTCTTGTTCATTACATACTTTCGGCAAGTTATACAACAATTTATAATTAGTTGATATAATGAGTAGGGCAATTTGTGGCACAATAAACTCCATTCTTGCAATACGGCTAAACATTGTTGTGTTGGCAAATAGTGAGTATTTCTGTGTTTATAAACCGATCAAAACTACCTATAAACTATTTTAAACAAGTTTCTCTATGCTTATAAGGTACTTATTATAAGCTAGAAAAAATAAATAAGTCTAACCTAATTATTTTTACGTCAATTTTTTTTATTTCTTCATTTTGACCTGATTACATACAAAACTATTCTTCACCTATTACGAATATCTCCAAATGACTTACTTCTATATATCATGCAAGTCATTTTATCTAGACACAAAAAAAAACTTATAAGCAACTTATAGTTAAAAAGTATTTATACGCATAGAGAGAAACACAAACATATACTCCGTATATTTTAAAAATCATCAAATTCCACTGTCAAGTGAAATTGTTGCTAAAGAAATGTTTCCTCATATAGTACCTCTAATCAATAAAAGAGATAAATAAGAATTTAGAAAACAGAACTCCAAATATATAAAAAGAATTTGGCACCTAAATGAAGGAGTAGGAAGGATGTCCGCCGCCATCAGCGAGCTGCAGCCGCTGCTTGTGCTCTGCAACTTTGAAGTCAACAATCTCTTTGAAGAGCTGAGAGTCAAGAACACAGTCAGGGCTCCCATAAACAGCCGCCTGCAAGCTGGCCATCAGTTTCGCAATCTCCCGTCCCGAAAACCCTTCGGTCTTCCTCGCAGCTTCCTTGAGAACATCGTCGCTGACGTCATCCTTCACGGTTATCCTCCGCGGAGTCTTGCGGAACAGATGCAGGCCCCACCGGCTGGACTCGCCGGCGGCGTCCCCTTCGCCGGAAGAGAGGTATTTGTTCATGTACAGCCTCAGGAGGTGGTAGCGTTCTTCCTCCTGCGGGAGGGGGAACTCGATGACCTCATCGATGCGGTCAGTGATGGCGGTGTCGAGATCCCCCGGTCGGTTGGTTGCGAGGACGAGGACCACGTCCCGGGACTGATCCCCTGTTCGGAACAGCATTGCGTTCAATGCACTCCTCTGAGCTTCACTCATGTGTCGGCTGTTTCGCCTGCAAGTGAAAATAATGAAATGTGACTCCCTCCATCCCAAAATCATCTCCTCGCTTTCCCTTTTTTAGAAAGTCGCAAAATAAATGTCCTCATTCCTTTTAAAAAAATAGAAATATGTAGTTCATGTTCATCCCTAATTTTAACCATACAATTACACTTTTCTTAAACTACGTGTCATTTTCACTTCTACTCCTATTTGATAAAGGGGGTGGAATATTATTATTTTTATTAGTCTGTAGTTTATTATGACACTAGATGGATCGAATTTCGGAAGAGAGAATGAAAGATTATGGACATAAATTAGCAAAACAAATATGCATTGACTAACTAAAGATACACGGAGTTGTTGTTTCTAACACGTAGTATAAGATAAATTAGGAAAATACAAACTATTCCACCCATCCAAAACTCTTCTATCAAACAAACCATGAGAACAGCATTGAGAAACTTACTCGCATAAGAAGGCATCAGCCTCATCAATGAAAAGCAATAAGCCCTTCTTGGATTTTTTTGCCCAATCGAAGATCTCATGAATTTTAGTGACAGCCTGTGCACCCAGTGGTACAACATCTCCTCCCGTCATCATTGCATAATCCAAACCCTGTCGAATTTATAGACCCAGTAACATTTAGAACACACAAAGTAAAGTTTAACTCCATAAGATAGTTCGGTTCCCAGAATATACTAGGAAAATGAATTAGAATGCCAAGTTATATTCTCTTGTGTGATTTTAACACATAAAATACAAGGAAAATGAAATAGGTTTTGTATTGTTCAAAGTTAACATATGTTTAGATGGCTAGTCTTTATTTTATGGCAATAGATAGATAAAATGAATAGAACAAATACCAAGAGTAAATTTGTTATGTTTGAACAAGTCTTTTTTTATATATTCAGTAACTAGCTTTATTTTCCTTCACATCCTATTTCCTTTGGATTTTAATTTATATGTTCCCCCATCATTTCTTTCCCCGCCATTTTTTCAGTTCAGAATTCAGCATTAACAATTACCAAAATTTTATTCCTAAACCTTTTAAGGAAAAATGTGTGTTGATATTTATTCCTTTTCTAAATAACCTACGACCACACAACTTCATTTTTATTAATAATTGTGCCAAGTGAAAGCACGAGTCGTATTATTACTATTACTACTACTAGTACTACTACTATTATTGTTATTACTACTATTATTATTAGAAGTATAACTATTATTAATATCATCACCATCATTTTATTAATCCACACATAGAAGATGGGATGTTTTGATTAGCAGATGTCAAACAGTTATATCCCTCAACATCTAATACTATTTCATGTTTATGCATTTCATGGACCATTCATTGCCAAGAAAATAAAAAAGAATGACTAAACGGATGGGTCATTCATACCGATTTTCTGGCTATTTCCCTGGCTACCATTGTTTTGCCAGTGCCAGGAGGTCCATAGAACATCATATTACGAAAAGGTGCCTGGTGAGACTTGGTGTTAGCGGTGGCCCGAGAAAGGTGCTCTATCCTCCTTTGCAATGATGGATGCAAGACGATATTATTGAAAGTAGATTTACTTGCTGCATCAAAGGCTGCACCGGATTTAGATATGTTGGTTACTAGTTGTGAAATCATTGGAAATTTTTTCATTGATGATTCTCGAATCAGAGATGGCTGCCCGAGAATCCTATTAATGTATCCCCATGTAACTCTTGCCCCTTCCCTGGATGAACATTTGAACACAGACAACCAAGGAGATCAATACAGGACATATATCATATTTTTCCAAGTCTTTTTTATGTTTATCGGAATAAAGACGCCTCTGTCAAATATCACGTCAGAATTAAAGAATAACATTTTGTATTGTGCATGGAGTGTGCCTTTTAGGACATGTTTGGATGCAGGGGTTTGGTGAGGAGGGTTGTAAATACGTTAGTTTATATCTTGACACATATATGAGACATTATAAAAATTGAATGATTAACATAATATGTGAGTGTATAACTTTTATGACCACCTGATGCTTGTCATCTTATCGCGATATAAAATAATCCCACAATGCTCTCCCCACTTAACCCATCCAAAAACCTCCATCCAAACTTCAAAGTCCAAACAGACCCTTAAAAACATGTTTCATCTAACATAAGAAACAAGAGGCTGCACTGAATATTACACACTGACCTGGTGGTATAAACCCCAGCAGCTAATGCAGTAGCTCCACCCACAGCCATAATCAACTTACTCCTGTCAGTCAATAAAACACGGAATCCATCTGCATATAAAAAAGTTCAATGAAATTGCCTAACATGCAAACCATTAAAGTTAGAAAGAGGAGAAATTAAGTATTAGAAGTCATCAATAAAGCATTATATTAGATCATGAAGACATGCAGATTATAGTTCCTATTTAAATCGAATAAACCATCAAGTCTCTGCTCTAGCCCACACAAGGTGGTGGTCAAATAACATTGCTACAAGCTTCAGTTGAAGTAAAGCAGAAAGGAATGTTGTGTTAAAAAAATTTGTTGCTGAATCAAAATCTACCCATCAAAGGAGCATGCAAGAAAATCACTGGTTGAACGAAAGATTGAAATTGACTATTAATAAACTGGTATTCCAATCCAGTTAACAATAAATGTTGTTTTAGAAAAAAAATATCAAGTAGTTGAGGGATAATAAATATGGAAAAACATGCAATCTTACTCCTCACATTTAAGTACCATTGTTTATCAAATATCAATTTTGCATGTGAGTCATAAACAGACACAAAAATGAAAAGAAAAAAAAAAGCACAAAATGTCATCTCGGCTTTATAAAACAATACAAACAGGGATAAAAAATTGACCAAAAAACCAGACTGAGTAACAATGCACAGCTACATGGATCAAACGACGCCATTGCGCTCTATCATGTATCATATGTGCAGTGAGATCATTCACGCGAAGGTACCCCTTGACCACTTCGTGCTAAGTCTTCTTAGGTCTACCTATGTGGCTAGAAGAAGAGGTAGACCTAAGAAGACTTGACACGAAGTCGTCAAGGGGGGCCTTCACGTGATTGATCACACTGCAAATATGGTACATGATGAGGCACAATGGCGTTGTTTGATGATCTTTGATCCATGTAGCCAACCCCACCTAGTTGGATAAAGCTTTGTTGTTGTAGTAGTAACAATGCACGGCCAAATCAATCACATACACATAAGATGTGAATAGTATCAATAGTTTTATGCTTAAGAGATTGTGCATGTACATATAAGTATTAAGTTGATAAGGCTATGTAAGAAACAACAAACACTACATAACACGTTCTTTTAGTACCTTCAACGTGAGTAAATGTTGTATTTATTGCAGCAAGCCACTTCTCTTTTTCACCATTTATTTTGTCAACTAGCATCCGCTTATTCTGATCTTCAGTCAATTTAGCTTCAAGAGCTCGGCCTTCAGCTTTTGCCATGGCCTCAATTCGAATAGTTTCTTGTTCCATTTCAGCTCTCTCTTTCTCTGTTTGTCGTTGCTGTGCTTGGATCTGTTCTTCAGTTGCTCGTCTTGATTGTTCTTTTCGTATAGATGACTCCTCTTGCATTTTGACCAATTCAGCATTTTGATGTCTTTTAGTCTCATTTTCTGTCTGAGATAGTGGTGAATGATAAATTGAACTTTAACCCATGGAGTATCTTTTCAACAAGAAAGAATTAAATAAATCCACCTTCTAAATTAAATGTTAATTGATAACAAATTAGCTACTTGATAACCGAGTCTAAGTTGCTTAAAAAGTAAAGCCCACACGACTCCAGGCTCTCAATCCATACGGATTTTGAATACAATCAGGTAATTACTTGTGCCCTTGCTCAATGTAATCAGTTACCTTGCCAATGATATTACTCTACATAATATGAGAACATTGAAAAAAATGAGGTTGAACATCAGACCTGCATTCTTTTCCTTGCCAATTCATCTTCGTATCTCAGCATTTGTGCCTTAGCCTGTGATTGTTGCTGATAAAGCTCCCGTTGATCTTCCGCCCATTTTCTCTGCTTCTCCTGCATATGGAAAAAGGGGGATGTGATATATGGTGATGCACCATTGTGACTTACGGCGTGAAATAAGGAAGTGCCAGCAGAATCCAATTATAAAGAGTGTACGTGAACTGCTTTGTGTGGACGGCTGGCAGTACATGAATGCTATGGTTGACTATGACCATTACATATGATTTTCTAATTATGTTTTTGCAATACTCCATCAGTCCCATTAGATAGTTAATGAAGAGGAAATAACTGAGTTTGAGGAGGATAGTGACCTTTGATGTGACCAAAAAACAAAATAGAATAGTGATTGGAAAGTATGGAGTAGTAGTTTGGGTATAAAATAGAAGGAAAAAGGGGGGTGGTTTAAATTTGGGGATAGGGGCATTGGTTTGACATGATATGAAAAAGGAAATATAAACTTTCTAACAGGACAAACAAAAACTTTCTAATGGGACGAAAGGAGTAGGTATCAATGCAGTAAGTTGTTCCTAATTTCTTGCTACAGATGCTTACTATCAGTAGTGTGGTAGAACACTATTATGTCTACATAAGTGACTGATAAGCCACACGTCTCAACTTTGAGTATTTATTTTATACTTGAGAGGGATGCACTGCAAAGAAGCGAAGGAATAGAAAACACTTCTTGTGCCATCATCTTCTCATCTCTAATGAAACTTACTGCTTGCTCTTCTTATTCTTTTTTTTGTGGGAAATCGAAATCCTGTCCTTCTCTTTCATACTCCGTATTTATTTATTCATGGATTTATCATACTAATATACTGAAGTTACGTGCATCAGATGTTTGATTCATATCTCGGTTGGAAAAAAAACATGTTCACTAATATACCACATTTTAATCCTGTCCATGATAGAATGCTGTCACATGTTTGTATCCAAGCGAAGCTGTTGCATCATTTCTTCTTTCAAGAAAGTGATGTGTAACTTCATAAAATTCTTTTTGATAGCTATATTTTTTATCCTTTTTCACAAAGAAACTGACTGGAAAAGGAGTCTTAAATTTGGAAACTCACAATATCGGCATGAGCCTGGATAGCATCAAAGTGAGCTTTCTCGGCATTCAACTCAGCAAGACGAGTCTGTTCCTGCTTCCTCATTAATTCAAATACCTTCCGAAATGTCAAGATGATTAGTTATAAGAGCTCGTTTAGCATGGAATGACAACTAACAATTAGAAACGCCTGCTATTCCGAAGCAAAATTCACCTGTTTGTGATGAGGAGAGTTGTTGATTTCCTTTAGGGCTTTAGCGCCCCTCTCCAGAGCTTGGTGATCGAAGCCACCTTTAGGCTCTTCAGGGGGAGCATTGGAAATCGAAGCAGACGAGTCGGCCTCCGGTGACGGCGGAGGAGGAGTAGGATGAGAGCGGGAGAAAGGGGGGAAACGAAATGAAGAATCGGCGTAAGCGATAGTAGAGGGCGCGAAGTTGGAACCGGCTAAAACTGCGGCGGCTGCAGCGCCGGCGGCCAGTGAAGATAGCCTTGAAGCTGCCATACTTTCATCAATCGAAATGCTCCGGCGGTTTAATCCGCTTAAACCCCCTAAACTGAAACTTCTTCTCCAAGTAGGGTTTACCGAATCGGGTTGCGGGTGGCAATATGGGCAAATGGCAGCCCCAAATGCTTTGTTCGGGGTGTTTCTATAAAGTAGAGAGTAATATATTTTTTTTGAATGCTATTGACTCTATTACAAGGTAGTATCTGTTCATACTATTCTCAAGCTAATGACTAATGACGCACATAGAGCCAATGCTGCTGCCTTCGTTGGGGCTCGAACTTGGGTGAACTTCCCCATGAATCCTGGGAAGTGGGCTTGCTACCACTCAAGCCAGGGGAGAAGTTCGAGAGTAATATATTTTTGTACTCTTACTTTGTAGAAATTTTGATATATTTTTAAATACGGAGTATGAAAGTTTTATTTTTTATTAAAGTATCGATTTTTAATTAAAATGAAATTAAAAACCCTTAAAATTCCATTTAATTACCTTAAAGTGTAAATATTTTGGAAGGGAGGAAGTATAGTTTGACAAGTTATTCCAATTTTGGTGCTCCAAGGGACTTGATATATTAGAGCACCCTTGCTAAATTTTAATTTTAATCTGTCATATATAGAAAGTGTCTAAAGATTCAAAGTATAGCAAGTCATAATATTGAATTAATATTTGATTTTTCTCTCTTCTTTTCTCCTTCCTCTCAAAATAATTTGTTACATTTACTCCCTACATTTTTATTTTTTATGGAAATATGAGACCATATCAAACATGTGTATAATTGTTATATCCAAAACTAGATACTCTGATTTAATGACACGATCAATGTAAAACATCTTTTTGGTCTCAAATGGAATTGAGTTTGCCGCTTGCTTAACAACTGCACTACTTGCATTGACATCACATTTTTTGTGCATTTTTAAAAAATATCATCTCAGCCACGAGCTTCATCATCGACCATAGTCTTGTCCCCGGATGTGTGCCCTGTCCCTGACATTGGCATTCATCTTCGGCTTAGGACCTTGTACTCGGCTATCGGGATGAACAAAGTTACATAGTGGTAATCAAAGCAGTTCAGTCTATTAAGTCGCCGGATCCTTTAATTACTTTCTATAAAGTCCAACCTATTGGGTTTCTCCTTTTTATACTTCCATTCACTAATTTCATAGCATTCATTCATCATGTACATCATGAGAAGGCTATTAATAAGTAACATAACAATAAACACAGAGATATTCTCATTCTATTTCAGTATCTCATTTCAGCTCTCCTCTATCTGGTTTACTCTAGACCCGAATTTCCAAAACTCATCTGGTTTGTGCGACTCAAGTTATTCAGTTGTAAGATTTTCCAAACATCGTGAGGTTTGGTGGGGTGGTTTCTGAAGGCTTGTGCGTTTGTCCGGAAACTGATGTAAGCATTATATTAGACCAAACAAATATAGATCATGATGTTCTTTACTCCTTTGCACTTCGTATTTTCCCTTTGTGGTTGGGTGTTCTTGTACATTTTTATATACAAAGTTATTTGAGAGAATAAATCAGACAAAAAACGATTAAAGTAAATGACACATCTATTCACTTCCCTTATAGAGTTTGCTACCATCATGAGTATGTACTACATCTTTATTTGACTTTTTATGATCTTCAATATAATACTTTGACCATTAAAATTTTATATTTTAACACTAAAATTTCAAAGAAAACTATTGATATCATATTATATTAAAATATACTCCCTCTGTCCGAAAATATTCTTCCCATTTGACTTTTTACGGTCTCCAACATTACACTTTGACCACTAATATCTTTATTTATACATGGATATATTTTATAAAAATTTGATATTAGAAAACTATATTTCAAAATGAATATATTCATATTAAAGTTATATCCTAATACAATGCATTTTTTTCACATATCATAGTCAAAGTTTACAAACTTTGATTAAGAAAAGTTAAATGGGAAGAATATTTTCGGACGGAGGGAGTAATATTTTTTTTGTATGCCGAGATAAAAAGTAATAAACAGTGACCAAGGAATATCAAATAAGAAGATTAAACTTTGACCGAATATATAAAAAGACAAAAGCACATGGAAAAATTGAATGCTCATTTAAAACGAGACAAGTGGAATACCAATGTACGTGGTTTACACTCTTATGCCCTTAACTTAACATTTTCTTCTTAATTAACTGTTATTAATTACCCGACTTAAAGTTTGACAAATATAAAACTTTAAATTTACCAGGTTTAGCAGCACCCTTTAATCTATCATTTTAAAAAAAATAATACTTCAAAATTGTAATTATTTTTCTAAAGCAGTTGGGTATAGTAATATTAGTTCTTGTTTTGTAAATTCTCGGTTATACGAATAATTTTTAACTATTTGAAATTTATTTTGTGTTATATTAATTTTACATTAAGTTTTTTTAACTAATTCATGCCGAGCAGTCTTTTTGTATTACTCCGTATTATTTTTTAAGGTAATTTCGGATCAGAGGATTTGTGATTAATGTTGAAGTTTTAAATAATTTTCAATTATGTATACCCCGAATTAATTTGAAAATATTCGTTTGATACACGAAATTAAAACTATGGAATTGAAATTTGTAATTTCAATTTTTGCTCATTGGTAGTACAAAAATATATAAATTTGGAATTGGTAGTCTAATAAAGATGAATTTGAAAACTTAATTCCATCCAATTCAATTTCATAAAATTTTAATTTTAATTCCGTCAATTGCGTATAGTTAATGCACCCTTACAATTTTTTTCACAAGTAATTCTATAATTGCTCCTTTATAATAGGAAATTTTTCATATTTATTCATCGATTATCAAATGTTATGCACGTAATCATTCTTTTATGTATACCTTTTCACGAATAATTCTTGTTTGATCTTTTATCATATATTGATATTAATTTGAGAGCTAAAAAGGGAATAACTGTGCAAAGGTAATAATAATTGTGCTAAAAGGTATTACATATATAAGTATGGTGAAATACAATTTTTAACTCCCAAATTAATAAAATATGATACAAGATCAAAAAGGGAATAATTGTGCAAATAAGGTCCCGAGAAAAAGGACTACATGCGTACGTAATATTCAATTAACGTCAACGTTTTGAATAGTTTTTTTTAATGATATTGATTAACTTTTCAAATGTTAAAGCTAAAACTACGCCAAAAAAGCGTGTCAACCAACTCAATCAAAGGCTTAATTTTGTGATTGTATGTCAGAAAAATTGTTTACCCAATAATAATTGTCTACGTATGTCTGTGATACACTGATGAAGAGATGGGGTATTATAAACGGCTCAAACTGATCCGTGTCCTGTGGTTCGAAAAATAGTTTGTCAAATTTAGGAGGACACGAGTTGGTATAAGCTTAATGACATAATTAACTAAAACCATTACTGTAATTAATACTCCGTATTGATAAATGTAATGACATTGACGACTAGCTAGCTAGGTGTACTTAAGTGAAGGTGTTACCTTCGAGGCTTCAAAAAAATGAAGATGTGACTTTAGAGGTACTTATTTAAGAGTATTCGATTCCTCCCAAATTAAAAGTGATAATTTACCGTATAAAAATGAAAAGTTAATTTTATACAACAAATTTGGCCCCGCTTGGCTTTAAGGTCAGAGTAGCGTTAGTGTTTTGAAAAAGCTATCCGACGATAGTCTTTAGCGTTAGCGTTTTCAGAATTAATCTGCACCATTAAAATTTTATCCAAAACGCTAACGCTAGTCGAAAACAATAAGTATTACTCCGTATCGATCAAAGTTAATAGTAAAAATTAATTCCAAAAATTAATCTCATATTTTTAAATTAATCTCCGTAGCATTTGTAATTGTTCATAGTAAAATTTAAAAATATGAAAAAATTATTTTGAATGGTACATGGAAATAGGATCTTAGATTAGGCAAAGATGAGATATAAAATTGGGGTAATACAATACTTCTTTGTTCAAAATTGTATATTTATTACGGAGTATTTATTACTAGATTGAACTCAATTGATTTTTCTTTATTTTCTTTATTAATTTGAAAATATATTATAATCATGTCATCATTATTTTATAAAAATTTTAATTTAATTTTAAATACGTAAATTTTATTTTTCAATTCTACTAAAATTCTAGAATAATGTGCATTAAACATGAATTGAGTCAAATATGGCAATGGGTAGTACACAATATTTGTCATTGGATTTCATTTACTTTCGACAAGAAGGTGCTCCCAACAATTCACACTTCACGTCACTTTTTTTCTCATTCTTTTTTTTGGCATTTAAATTAGATATGATTTTGTTTCTTGTTGCACACACTTTTTACACGGTATTGTTGTTGTGAAATTTAGCAAAAGATCCTTTTGCAAATCTAAAGCAAAAGGATAATTAGGAAGCCCTATTATGAATAGAGGTTTATAATGGGATTAGTAGCAAATTAAGTCCGCTACTAAAAAAGTACTATGGTAAAATAGATATCGCGTTAAACAATAAATTCAGGGTTTCAAAAAAATTGTTTTCTATTATTACATAGTAATTGAGAAAGTTTAAAATAAGAATCGGAATGGAATCGTCGGTTTCCACCCAGAAAATATAGGAATCGGAACAATACGTACTTTAATTTTCAATTTTGATTACAAATATTCAATTTGTCAATTTTGATTTCCATACGATTATGATACTAGTATTGTGTCTACCCTTAGTCACAACAAAGTTTGAGGTTTATGTCTCTCTTTCAACGGAAGTGTGGTAACTTGGATCTACTGGAAACATGAGGCAGATCTACAAGAAACACAATTAGAAACATAATGCCGACGCTGAGAACCAAAGAACCAAAGAAATCAATCAAATGCTTCCGTATGAGGTATGAGATGACTCTTTGTGTATAAGTGTACAAGAATTACAAGAATTTAAGAGACGAAAGAGTCTAAATTTACATCTTTAAAATTCTAATCTAATGTTCTAATGTGCTAAATAAAAACTACTATTGTCTCCATCTCATAAAACTTTTCAAGAAGGAAAAAAAGCACCATAGAAATGTACATTTTTTATTTTATTTTCATTTTGATCTTACTTTATGATAAAGTAAGATATGATGTGTATTATAGATGAGCCACAATTAGAAAATAATATCAAAATATTCCATTTTTAGAAAGTGTCTTTTTTTGTTTTTAAAAAGTTTTATGGAAAAGAAGTACCCCTCCGTCATAAAACTATCTTCCCGTTTGTGTTTACGAGTTTTGAGTGACTTTATTTTCAATTCAATTTATTTTATTGTACGTGTAAAATTAAAAAATAAAATTTATATATTTAAAAACTACATCAAAAGTTCTTTAAAACAAGATTTGACAAGATTATATTATTTTATCAAATAACTACAAAAAATAAATAAATATTTGAGCCTGTTTGGAAATAGCGTTAGAGATTAGCGTCAGCGTTTTGAAAAGGCTATCTACGGCCAACGTTTAGCGTTAGCGTTTTCAAAGTAATCTGCACCATTAAAATTTTATTCAAAACGTTAACGCTAATCTCTAATGCTATTCCCAAACAGACTCAAAATTATTTAAGTTTGACTATGTGAATAACAAATGAAAAAATAGTTTTAAAACGTAAGAATATCAAATAGAGTAAGTTGGAGGGTGGGGCCGTGGGATACTCTAGCGAGTAGCATTTAAGGGTACCCCTAATTTTACTTGTAATTTAAGCCACAAAATCCACCACCATAATCCAACATTCACAACCCTGAAACTCTCTTTTCCCTCTCTCCCTTGCTGGGCTCCGCCGCCTCGTTCATTCTATTCCGCCACCGCGAGTTAGGTGGTTGCTTTAATTGAACAATTTATGTGATATTCACAAACCCTTAGCTGTTTCTGCTGCGTGGAACCCCAGACTGCGGTTGTGGCACCAAATCCATTATCACCCATTGGATTTTCTTAGCCCTGTATTATATTTAAGGAGAAAAGGGACTGTTTGTTCTACTATTATTATTTTATCATTTCCCCCCATTTAAAAAAAAACAACATTGTTCTGGGATTTTTCTTCCAATTGCTTAAAGGTTGAAGCTTTTTTCATCTCAAGACTGAAGTTTGATTTCTCTCTGCACCAGGTGAGAATCTCTCATTTCTTTTACTGGTGTTATGAAGTCCATTTGATTATTTTTTCCTGATTAATTGGTTTTTTTGTTTGTTTAAGGTGGTGGAAAAAGAAAATTTAAAATGTTTCTTCATAAAGCTGGAAAACACCCTATAAACCAACTTTTTGGACCATAAAGCTCCCCTGAAAAATTCTTCACCAAGCAACATCAAAAGAGTACAAAACTTTCTCAGGTCATGCTTTGTTTACTTCTTGGTTTTGTTGGAGTATCAAAGTATTTTTTACAAAAAAATCACAAATTCAGATTTTGCCCCTCAATTTTAGAAAGTTGGTTTTTTTCAGAATCACTAAAAAATAAGTACTTTCTTTGTCCGAATTTAGTTTTCCACTTTCGTGTTTTCATTTGTCCGAATAAATTGTCCACTTTCATGAAAACATGAATTGGTGGCAACCTCATTTGAAAGAATTATTTGACAATTTGAACTCATTTATCAAAATGAGATTTTTGTTTATATAGTTGACAACTAAATCCGGAGGGAGTAGCTCCTTTTGCCTAAATAGTTTTGGGAGAAGATAATAGGCTCATGTATGTTGTTTAGTAGAAGATGAAAGTTGTAAAATTTTATCTTGGCATTTTGTTGTAAATGTCATTTGATGCAGACTTAGTCTTCTGTACAATTTTTATGCTGTATATATGTGTGTGTGTGTGTGTGTGTATTAAATTTATTAATATTCAAGTATGAAAAAAAAAAGAAAGAAAGGGCTATTTATCACATTTTGAATACTTCTTGCAGTTAGCCATTACCTTCTTTATGGGGAGTGATACCACTGAAGTTACTGATGCACCCCTATCTCCTCAATCCATTAAGGTATTAAATCTTTGAAAAAAAATTCACTCTTTTCTATTCTGAAATTGTTTCTAATTTTCCCCATTTGGTAGCTGTATTTTTGAGTTTATGGACGTTATTCGCCAGATTATTTCCACTCACCAAACGGACCCTTAAACTAAACCCCAACGGCATGGAGACATTGTGTTTCTTGAAAATCATGCTAAATTTAGTGTTGGTAATTGAGTGCAGGTGCATCTTCAAATGTGCACGGAGCTGATCAAGTTTGTGAATAGAGCCTCAAAATTACTTCCGGAAATAGAAGCTTCTAGGCCCCGTTGCACGTCTGGATTAGACTCACTATGCGTATTCAACAATGCCATTGTCAAGGCCACGTCCATCATTCGGTGTTGCAGTGAATCTAGCAAGCTCTATCTGGTACGTATCGTTTGGCATGTTATTACCCCTATGGTCGTTGCTAGCTCTATTTTTTTTTAATTTATTGAGCTTGTGTTTTAGGGTCCATTTGGTAAGTGTTATTTGGCTGAAATAAGTAAATGAGAAGCAGTAGTGTTCCTAGCCTTTTAGGGACCTTAGGTGGCAAAGTAGTTAAGGGTCTCTCTAATGGGCACCAAGAAATCAAGAGCCCTAAAAAACCCAGACTAATGTATCAATATAGGGTAATTCCTAATACTTGTTTCTAGAAAGCCCTAAATATTCAAGAGCTCAGGCCAGTGCCTAGTTTGCGTAGGTCTTAAGATGGGGTTTCGACAGTAAAGAGGACCCAGAAGTGGGGCCCGGGGAGGGCGGGTAGGTTTATTCATACATTACTCTCAGACTGTGCATTTGCCTTTAATTCTCCATGTGCTTGATCACATGTTTCTAGTTTTTTTTACAACCTATGATGATAGTCAAATGGTATTAATGTCTCTTAACCACTGCATTTGCAGGCTCTAACAGGGGATGCTATTCTCTCAAGATGTAAGAAGTCAACAATGTTGTTGGAGCAAAGCTTAAGCCAGATGCAATATATGGTTCCTGTTATGCTTGCTGCAGAGGTGCAACTAACAAAAAAAGAAACATTTATTTTAATATTACTGTTCCCGTCCCATAAAAAGCTTCCTAGTTTGACATTCAAACATAAGTGAAAAGTATGTGGTTGGAATTTGTTTAGACTTCATTAAAAAATATTACTCCCTGCATCCCTAAATAATCTTCCCATTTCAGATTATGATGTTTGACTGAAGTATTTATCGATCCAATATGTGTAAAAATAAAATTTATTTATTAAAAAACTATATCACAAGTTCTACACAACAAGAAGTGACATGAACCATTTTACTTATTTATTGACATTGTTGAATGTTGACTATAGCATTGTACTTGTAATGTACTGTTTTGCTGATCAGTTCATACCATGTGCAGATATCGGTGTTAGTTGCTGATCTAAGAGGGGCAAGATTTAGCTTGGAGCCATCGGAGGAGGAAGCCGGAAAGCTTCTGAAAGATTTGCTTCACCAGTATTCGCACGAATCGGGCCCCACAAGGGACACCACGTTCACGGCCATTCAAGTTGCGATTTTGATGCTCAACATAACCACCCCGAAAGCACTCCTCGCAGAAAAAAGATCCATCCGGATGCTTCTTGACAAAGCCAGAGACTCGGAAGAGTCAAAGAAGAAGATTCTCTTCTTCTTCCTTAACCTCCTCAACAAGCACGCAAAGAGAATCTTGAAAGAGAAACATGATCACGATGAGTCTGTGCAGAAACCCAAAGGACCCTTTTGCCCTCCCTCGTCCGTGGAGCCTCCTGACGAGTTCAGGTGTCCTATATCGTCCAGGTTAATGTACGACCCGGTTTTGTCCGCTTCTGGAGTGACCTATGAGAGGATGTGGATACAGAGATGGTTTGACGAAGGCCATCGCACGTGTCCTAAGACAGGGAGGACCCTGACCCACTTTTTGCTCACCCCCAATACCCACATTAAGGATTTGATATCAAAGTGGTGCGCGGAAAGTGGGGTCACAACTTCTGACCCCAAGAGCATCCCCAATGTAAGTCCCAACTCAATCTCACTCTCCTAGTTTACATGTAAATGGGACTAATGTATGATCCCATGCCATTGCATGAAAACCAAGAAATTGGGACCGTCCCACAAACTATGGGCCGTCCCAATTCAAAGTAGAAGTGTGAAGTTTTTGTTTGGAACATCCAAATAATGAAAGTGTGAAGTTCTTTGTGGGACAGAGGCAGTATTTATTGAGACTAACGATTGGATAATATGCAGGCTGTGGGACCTCACACGTGGGAAGTCTCGTCCATTTCCATAGCTAGCCTGGGAAGTTCCATGAATGATCTCAGGCTTCCGACCGATTTTACCAATTCGTCCATTGGTTCTTTGGTTTCCCCGAGTCCTAAAATCCCAAAGAAGAATACAAATGTGGTTTCACCGGTTTGTCCTTTGGATTCTTTGGACGGTCTGGATTCACTCTCTTGGGAATCTCAGTGCGGCGTTGTTGAATGCGTCGCGAGAGTTTTGAAGCGCGACGAAGATGGGGATGGTCAAGGGGTTAAGAAGTTGCACCCCGAGAGGTTTGTTCAGTCGTTGGTGAGATTCTTGAACAGTGCACGCGAGTCGCAGGACAAGAATGCCCAGATCTCGGGGTGTCGGTTGATGTCATTTTTCCTAAAGAAATCCAGGTAGCCCTTTTGCTCTTATCATCTCTATGGTGGAAATCATTATGATATCACTTAAAATATAGAGTAAATAATATAACCCTTTGGGGATTATATTTGGAAATCTATATCTGGTCATATTTGCCCAAAGAGATTAATTATGGAATAAGTAATTTTTAATAAACTGAGGACCATGAAATATCTTAAAATTAGAGACTAAATATATAAAACCGCCTGTTATAAGGAAGCACTTATGAAATTTACACCAAAATTTATCAAATACTAAGTGAGCGTTTATCTGTGCTGGTTCTTATTGACTTATTCTTGATAAGCAGATTTTAACTTATAACCTCTTTATATGTTTAATATTCTTTCTTGTAAGTAAAATGACTTAAATGATAGATAAATCATTTGAGATTATTCGTAAATGGTGAGAAATAATTTTGTAAATAATCTGGTCAAAACATAGATTTGGAAAAACTGACTTAAAAATAAGTAGGTAAGACTTATTTTTTTGACTTAAAAGCAGATTATAAGCCCAGAGAGACCATGTTATCAATTGACTTATAAGTTAAAAACATTTTATTAACTGTTTTGACCAGCTTATAAGCACATAGAAACACCCACTGAATCCATTTTGCTTGTTCACTTTTACAGGAGTGCGGCTGTGTGTTTGGACGACAAGGCATACGAATTGTTGGCATGGTTTCTAACAACCGGAGCCTCTGTGGAAGCTCTCTCCGTCTTCGAAATCCTCTCCTCCCACACCCATTGCCAATCCAAAATCGCGGCTTCCGGTGCGCTAAACCTCGTCCTCGACATCCTCAACTCCAAACTCAGAGATTCATTGAGACATTCTTTGACAATCGTGAAGAACGTGTGTGGCAACGAAGACGTGAGAGTCTCGGTCCCCGAAACCGAGGGTTGCGTTTCTTCGGTCGTGAGGGTGTTGGAGAGCGACGACGTGGAGGACCAAGAACACGCCGTCGCGGTCCTCCTCTCGCTCTGCTCCCGAAGGTCGCGGTACTGCGAGCTCGTCATGTCGGAGGACGTGATCCCGGATTTGTTCTGTATATCTGTGAATGGGAACAATAGAGGGAAGAAGATGGCGTCGGAGTTGTTGAGGATCTTGAGGGACGGGTCCCGCGATGTCGCGGGAGAGAGTTCCCCGGACGGCATCGAACGCGGCGGCGGCGGCGGCAATGACTACAAGGAGAGAGAATTTCCGTCCAAGAAGACGGGAATTATCGGGAAATTGTTCCTCAAAATTCGTTTTTCGGGTGCAAAAAGGGAAAAATAGAGAGGGGATGAACTTGAACCATTTCCTCTCTGGAGTCGGGAACCAGACAGGACTTGGGTTCGGGATTCGGGGCCCGGTTCGGGACTAACTGTTGTCGAAAACTAACATACACCGTTTTGCCTAAGATGCGGGGGTTGGGTTAGTACATAATACGGAGTATATTGTATTATTATGATTATGTGATTAAATGTTAGTGTTGAATACTTACAATGCTAAGTGTTAGTGTGGTGTGGTTCTAAGGTGATTTTGTGTATATGTAACAGTTGGTGCAAATTCCCACTTTGATATGTTTGCAACAAAAAAACATTCTTCTTATATATTTTTATGATTATTTGTACTTTTGAATTTTAAGTTTTCCTCACTCATCTCAAACTTTGGATAAAAACTACAAGTAAAAAGAAGCAAAGGGCACGGTTAACATCTGTGTGTGTCTATGTGAAACATATCTGCATTCATGCTATCACTCATGTGGTGGCATCCTATCGTTATTCTTATTTGTACGGAGTAACTTTTAGTTTGATAAAGGAGGGTTGAGATCTATAGTACAAAATAGTTGTGATCAGTTAAAAAATAAAATTATTTAAAGATTGGTGGGTTGGTGTATCACTTTAATTGGTTTGTCATATATTATTTTTATCTTTACGATTTAACTGATTTGTTGAAAAATGAAAAAATATGGTTAAAATTTGTCAGGAAGAAAAGAAATTGTTCGAATAACACATTCTTTTCTTTAAAATGAAAATAAAGTTTTATTGAGATAGACGAAAAATTGCTACTTGTACACTACTTGTAAACCAATATGTGTTGGAGTTTACAGCGGGAAAAGAATAAAATAATCCGAACTTATAATACGTTCGGATTTTACAACAAAAATGAATGAAAAAAAAAACTTGGAGTCTTCGGAGATGCTCGAACGAATGCAGGAACACGAACGGACGGACACTTGAACGGCTAACAGAGACGTCGGATGAAAAGAGGAAGAACGTCGGAGTAGAAGGGTAAGGAAAGCGGAGTCGCCGGAGCTTTCCTTAAGGTAGTATTGCCCGCCTCCCGCACTGGCAAACGTGGGCAATCTCCTCCCAGGATAAAACCGCTTCGTGCAAGGTCTAGGGCGGTAGAACCGTGCACCGTCGAACGAGAAAGTTGAAGCTACTGCCGGAGTATTTTATCGGAAACGGGGAGAAAAGGTTGGACGCAGAGAACACTGGATTTCGGATTTCCTTCGTTGTTCTCTACTGCTAACAGACCGCTCCTTATATAGGAGTTGATATGGACGAACCTGGACAGTCTCGGCGGAATTTCCGAGGAGTCATCGGCAACCCTTCGGATGGATGCATGCATGCCACAATTCTGTTTTAACGAAGTGTACACGTGTGTTTAATTCGGTCTCGTAAAAAATTAGCCACGCCCCGCTGCAACGCGCGTGTCGTGCCGAGCCGGACGGACGGCGGCGGGCGCGTGAGGAGTCCTCTTCTTGTTCCTTTCATAAACTCAATTCAATGCCTAAGCTTAAATATGAGAATACGAAAGGTTTAGAAACCGGTGTGGGACAAAGGCATTTATTCTACCTTAGTGTTCAACTTTTAGAATTAATTTCTCATTCACCCGAGCACCGTTCATGACGTGTCATATATCAAGACGTTCGTCTTACTTACGAGATTAATCGTCCATAATTATTTTGGAAAATAATTTTGTGGACCCAACTGAATTTATGTCCGAAAATGTCCAATTTACTTTAAAATTTCCAACAATCCCCCACATCAATGCTTTACATTGTTACATTGATGACGCACACTGACACAAAATGTCAGTGCAAAAAATATTACTCGGTATATGGAGTACCGAGTATAACATTTAGAAACTACATATAAAATTGAGCATATTTCATTGTTAAATTATATAGAGTAGTGCGTATAACATTTCTTGAACGTATTTCCACTTCATATCTTATACTCCCTAAGTAGCATGGTCGTGAAAATATTCATGAGATGGATGGATATCAAACTTGATTAAATAGTAAACACTTCATATCCTTTCGAAATTTATTTCTCTTTCAATGTATCAAAAATATGAGTTTAACATGACTTTTTATATGTGAGTATCCCTTGAATTATATGTGACCCATAATGTTAAAATAACAATTTTCAATTCCCAAAATTGCAATAGGCTCTGGGATCACTCATTTATGCATATGTCTTATCTGTATTGTACTGTAACCTTTGTCAACACTTTCATGTAGCTAAGTGTCACTTTTTTGAAAAAATGATCTCTCACTCTAAAGGACACATACCCTCCAAATTAAAGAATGTGGACCTAAACCGTAGGGTCATTTTCATTTCTTCTTTTAATTGATGGATGTAACTCATCACCCATTGAGGACGAATATGACTTGGGTCTAGTCTGGCCTGCAATGCATGAGCCCACTTTCTTTTCAATTCTAGAAACTTCATTATTTCTTGGATTAAAGTATTTGTATCCTGGAGGTTTGTACCTACATTTTACATCATTGTAATGCTATGATGATATTTCATACAGACACAAAATATTAGTGCAAATTTTTATTAACGCACCAGCATTTTATTATCAGTGTGAACAATAAAAATGTTAGTGTATACCTTTGGTGTAACTTTGAGGTACAATTTTTGGTGTAAGTGTAGCATGGTCCTGATTTCTTTCTTTTGTGAACCTTCAAACACAAAATTGAACTTTTGATTAGTAACATGATATCAGGGGTTAGAAATTCAAATTCAAATCACACTGTCAACACTTAAATCCTAAACGAAAAATAAAAATTCACGTGAAAAAGTTTCGAACAAATAAAAAGAACTCTCGTCTCGTCTGCACGCGAGTGACATGCATGTTTAATTATATGGAGTACTATGCATAAGATTTCTTGTCTAACCTCAAATTTGACATTTTGGTTGAGTTGATCGATCTCGATAATAAGCAATACAACTTTTTTTCATTGTTAATAACCAATATATATGGAGTACTACCAATAATATTTCTTGAGCTTTTTCTAACCATAACTTTTATACAAAAAAAAAAAAACTCTATCGTTAATTCGTTGGATAAGAATTGGGGCCATGGGAGGGAGCTGAGGGAAGGGGGGTCTGCCCTATTAACTTTTGGGAGAGAAAGAGTTCAATGTATCAAATAAGAATTTTTATTTAACAATATGCATATCATAGACAATTGATCTAAAAAAATATATATATGAACTATGCTAAACATAAGATCTCGGCAACTACCAGGTACAAGTTCTACTCTTTGACACCAATTTACGATTAAAGTTCAATTTACCTACTGTTAGTGACCGCCCGACCGGGTCTGAGGGAGCCCTCGGGGATGGGATTTATCCTTTTTTTTTTAAAAATATATGAGAAAGAAAAGAAAGAAATGCAAAAGAATAAAATTCAGGTCCAATTTTGATAGCGGTGATGAGAGACCACCAACAAATCGTATTTCTTACTACCCCGTCCCGCTATATTCGTCCACTTTTGACTTATGGAACTGTTCATTTAAGCACTTTGACTCATCAAATTCTCTCAATGTGTAAGCCTAAAAATAGTCATGTGTGATCTTGTTTGATTTGTCTTAACATATAGATTATTAATATACTCCCTCCGTCCAAAAAAGAACTTCCCGGTTTGACCCGGCACGCACTTTAAGAAAATCTGAAATTGTCCTTGACTTTCCCATATTACCCTTTAGTGGGTTTGGGCGTGATATGTGCAAAAGAAAAAAGGAAGATAAACTTTTTGATTTGATACATAATGATTAAAATATCAAAAGTAAAAGTACATTGCAATGATTAAAAATCCTTCATATTCCACATTACACGGCACTTTTAAGTGCCCAAATTAGCAAAAAAATTCATTTCCCTTCACAAAGTTAAAAGTTCCCACCCAAATGTAAAGTCTATAAGTACTTTCCATTTTTAGATTTCCATTTTTAGATTTCCATTTTTAGATTTCCAGCACTGCATCATTCTTTGTTTCCTTCTCCACTGCCAGGTTCTTTCTTTTTTTCTTCATTGCCAAATTCTTCCTTTTTGTCTTTGTTTGTTCATGCCATGTGAGAATTTTTGTCTCCAAACTTCCTTCTCTTCCTACCATGTGAGGGAGCTTTTCTTCGGAATCCATGGAAATTCACCCACCCACTTGTCTCGTTTAAATCCGCTGGTCTGGTACAGGTGAGAGCAACTTGGTGAAGGTATCAGAGAGGAGGAATAGAGACGAAAGAGAGGAGGAAAACCCTAGATCTAAGAGGTTTGTGGAAGAGGATGGCGTGAAGGAGTAAATGGCAAAGAAGTAGAGGTAGATAATAGGTGGGTGGCGTAAAGTAAATGGGGATAATGACGATGAATGAGAGGGAGGGGTATAATTGACCTTTACCCTTCAATTCCTTACTAAATTTAGAAATGGGAAGTTTTTTTGTGGACGGATGAAAAAGGAAAGTGGGAAGTTCTTTTTTGGACGGAGGGAGTATAATTTTTATAATTTTTTAATATACAAATTACAAGATAAAATGGATTAAAGAAGTGTATTGGATGGTGTGCAAAAATGAAAGTGGATAAATACTCTGAGACGGAGGTAGTATTTAACAAATTGAGATTATAAATTTATCAACTCTATATGTTACATTGTGAATCTTTTTTCTAGGCAATTGATATGGGGGTTAAGTGCCTCTTGATTACAACGTCGTTTAGTTTAAACGTCTTCAAAATCAAATGTTATTTAATGACAACATTTAAAATTAAAACATATATGTGACATTCATAAAATGTCAAAAACAGTAACTCATATTGAGTAATCATCTAGAAGGGTCTGTTTGGTATATGAAATTGATGGAATTGGAATTGAAATTCCATGGGATTCAATTCCATAAAATTAAATTCACCAATTCCAATTCATATTTTGCACTATCAATTCCAAATCTACATAATATTCGGGATACCAAACATCAGAATTGGAATTAAAGTCCTCAATTCCAATTCCATAGTTTGAATTTCATGTACCAAACGGGGCCGAAGAGTAATGACATTGCTATTGATAATGACTTATTCTTAACATTTCACAATAATGGATACGTGTCTTAGCTTTGCTAAAAATAGGTCCAAATATTATGTTACAAAAGAAGAGTCCAAACAATAAATTACGCGTTACGTTTGTCTCCATATGTCACGGAAATTTTCCAAGTACTATTTATATGGTTAGATTATATACATTTTGTTTTCTTATTTTCGTTATTCAGTTAATAAAATAAAATAATTATCTCATAATTATCTCATAATTATCTCAGTTGATATTATGTTACCATACCTTAGTTGGGGGACAATGCTCCTACTAATTTTTGCAACTAAAGTAACTTTTTTTAGGCTCATGGCAACAAAAATTGTGGAGACCCATTCTTTTTATCTTATATATTAGCAAATAAAAAAATATAATGCTCCAATTGAAAAAACAAAATATTGGAGGAAAAAATAGTCTAAGTTTGCCGGAAGCATGGAGACTCTGTTTGCACATAATGAGTTTTTTTATACTCTCTCCGTCCAACAATAATTTTCTGATTGCGCGTAACGATATTTGACTGGAGTATTTTTCATATCACTTTATATGGAAAAAAATATGTAAGATTAAAAAACAAATTTTGTTTTGTTGTTATCGTTGTTCTTATATTTACTTTTGTAGATCTTTTGACGTAATTTTTAAATACATGGTTTTTGTTTTTAAGTTTTACACCTACATTCAAATAAATTAAATTGAAAACAAAATCGATCAAACATCATAATGCCGATGGATCGGAAGATTCAAATATGACGAAGGAGTATAATTTTATTAACCCTAGTTTCATCACTACTTCAAAGACAAAGATAATCCATAAGTTTGTAATAATTCGGTGGTGAGCCAAAAAAGATTAAACTTGGTTGAAGGAAGCATGCATGGGTAGCTCAATTGGTTGAAAGAGAAGATGTTAATCTCATTGATCACAGGATCGAATTCTGGCAGCGGCAGTATGACAATTTTATTATTTATAATAGTTCATTGTGCACACCGAGCATGAGGCAGCCTTTCTAAAGACTGGATTGAGATTATATCATGATTTACCTCCCTCACAATCTTGTCGGCCCGAGGTATGGGGGTGCTCGAGTTGGGCATTTCACCTTTTCGAAACTGAAAGAAATGATATGTCGGTGGACGTTGCGCAGTTAGCAAGACACGGAGTGCCAAGGGAGTAAGACCCGAGTTCGATTTCTAGCAACTGCGCTGGAAGGCAACTATGCTAAGCATAAAGCTTTGCAAGTACCAGGTGCAGGCTCCACTCTTTGCCACCAATTTATGATTAAAGTCTAATTTACCTCATCTCAGTGACTGTTCGGTCGGGTCCGAGAGGTCCTCGAGGATTATGCTCATCTTTTTTCTGAAAGAAATGATATGAATAGTGGACGACGATGCGTGGCCCACAACAACATATATAGTTAGTAGCAGCGAGCAGCTGAAGTCGGTAGATACCACCAGCAGGCAGCAGTTGAGGAGATATCAACTCCAGATTAATATTTTTCAAAATTGAAAAATTTCAAACTTTAATTTCATATTTATGTTATGACCCTAAATATATAATTTTCGTTTTCGAAAGACTTAGTTTTGGTATTTAAAAAAGACTAATACTGTAGTTTATTACATGTTTGTCTTTCATGTTCGAGTCCTAGCAAAGTAGGAGGTATTGGAGTAAGAAATACGGAGTACTACATTGGTTTGGCACAAAATTTAAGGAAAAGTTTTCCAAAAAACGGAGAAAGTTTTTTCAGACATCTCAAGAAGGAAATAATGAATCTTTTTGGGGATGGAGAAAGTAATTTTTTTGTACAAGAAAGAAGCTTGTTTTAAGAGGTGTTCATCTTTTTTTTTTAGAAAAAAGATAAGTAAAATTAAGACGGAGTAATTAAAATACATTTAAAAAATGTAAAAAAATGACAAAAATGACTTACTGCTGCATGTCTTGTCACTCAACTCACTTTCCACATGCTAATGCTAACTGACTCTTTTTTATTGATTGAAATATTTCATTTTTGATTTGTTATTGTTCATGTTCTAATAGTTGCCAATATGTACTCGTGGTATAATTCCAAAACAGCATTATCAATATTAATCATTTTAATTAAAAGAAATACAAATATTTGAAGTATTTCAAAGTTTAACCAGCAAATAAATTACTTTATCAAAATATTAATTAAATATTACTCAGGTATTCCATACTCTCTCCGTTCCAAAATAATTTACCTCTTTGTTATTATAATCTTTCGATAACTTTTACTCCGTATTTATTAGCATGGTTTCATTCATCATTTGATAAAACAAAACATTTTTCTCTCCTCTTGTTTTGTAAAATTATTTCTATAATAGTTTTGAAGTCATGCGATTTTACACATTAGTCGAAATGTATAATTCATCAAGAGATGAAAGTAGTATTGGTTGTTACTCCCTACTAATGAGAAAAATGATATTTTTAAAAAAGAGAATACACAAATATATAGAGTACATATCTCGAACAGGTTTTAAACGAATCAAATATATAAGTACCAATCTCAAACAGGTTTATAATTAGGTATCAACAATCGGTTACGAATATTATTATCCGCTTCAAACGAATACCAATGCTACATTGTCAAAATTTTGACCGTCAATTGTCACCCAAAAGAAGGGGGTTGGGGTGAAAGAGGTTGCGGGGGTTATGAACCATTTCGAAATCAAACCGAGCATGTACCATAAGAACCTCAAATGTACCCGGTGTCATATTATGACACCAGATCTAGTGTCAAAGGAACCCCACAATAATTAATGTCTCAAACTTTTTTGTAGGGGAAACATGCAAAGTTCTACTCTTACAAACAACAAAAGATGGTGGGGGTGGGGGGTGGGGGGGGGATTTATTTACAGTTTACATATAAGATATCTCATTCACATGCTATCTTGGTGTCAAAGCTGCTCAAACAGATGGCAAAAGCCTGGAAAGCAGAAAGGGGGTAACAGTAATCCATGGTAAAAATATCCTTCCCCACCTTCCCAAATTGCAAAATTACCTTCTCTTGTTCTTCCGCCGGAATGTTACTGTTACTGGAAGGGTCAATTGCTGCCACAAGCTGAAAGTTTTTAACAGAAGCCACAGTGACTCTCCCTCTGAAGTTCAGGCACCAGCACTGCAACTGCTCATGCCACCTGGGGGCCTTGTTTTTCAGGGTGAGCGGCTCTTGGGGAGGCGGGACCCACTCTTTCGCGTCGGAGCACTGCGGGAATTCTGTTGGTGTGGGGGCCGCTCCCCCATCCTCGATAGAAGAGAGGGGGATGGTTTGCATGACGCATTGCATTCTCCGTGGGCCTCTGGTGCGAAGGACATTGAGATCATAGGACAATGTGGCGACGCTGTAGTTACATGCAGACAGCGTGGGAGATACTTGTTTGGCATTGAATCTCCGGCTCACTTGGCTGTTTTGATGAACGGCGTCATCGTTTGGAGGTTGGCTGTCATACATTGTGAACTTGGTGCGAAGAAAATTGGACCTGGCGAAAGCCCAAAATATATAACATGAGTAAATTAAAGAAGAAACTGAGGACCAATTGGTAGCGTTAAGTTTTGGCTTTTCAGCATGGGGGTTTTCACCAGATACTAACTTATTTCACTGGATTGGCTAAATTGGTTGATAAAAGAAAAAAAGAGCAGGTGTTACTCATTTTCTTTATTTATTTATTTACAGATATGAGTGTAATGTATACTTTCATTTTTGGAATTTTCATTCTTTAAACACTCAGAGCCACAGATTCAACAACTTCAAAAAAATCGCCCATTTTCATTCAGCCTTACGAAATGGTCTCAAAACCTCTCTATGTAGGATGTACACCATGTTTCTTATTTGAGAAGGGTGTGTGGGAGCATTGCATTATAGGGAAGATTATTGTGGGACGCCGTGAGTAACAATTAAGCCAACTATCACAGAGACCATTGAAAATGTTGCTCTTAATGTTCTAACTCCCAACAATAGCAAAGAACCATCAACAATGAAATGAAAATTTACCTCAGCTTCCCAACGTATGTATGGCTTGCTCGTGAAAAATCATCTGCAACCAATGATATCACGAAATCTGTACGCATTGCCCTTCTCATCTTTTTTGCCACCAGCAACAATTTATCGCTCCCATCCTCAGCTGAACCAATGCCAATACAAATAGAATTTGGTTAACTTAACTTTTAACATGTGAAAAATCAATAAAAATTGTTCCAAACATGCTTCTTTTTCTGGGAGAGAGTGCCAGTTATTACCATATCTCCGTATTCCATAAGACTTGGGGGATTTCTAAAACAATACCTAGGACCGCTAGGCGTTGGAATGCCTTAATACTATTAAAAACATGGAATTAGAAGAGATAGAGCATATCTTACACGGAGTCATACCAAGGTAGAGGCGATAGATTGAAGTGGCTCGATCTCTCTTGATAAAGCACTGGATTGGGTATTCACGTTGTCCCGGCTGATCAATGACAGAAAGAAAAGGGATATTCTCTTCAGTTTCAAACAAAATTGGCAATCCCATACTCTGGTTGCAAAAAATATACGGAGTATATAAAAGCACAGTTGTTGAACGAAAATTCACCTGTTTCAGTGAAATGGGAAATGTTATCCTCCCACATTCCTCAAGAGTCTTGACAATCTCCTTAGTGATTTGTCTCCAAGACTTGCAAACAGATGCACAAAAGAGGACAACAGCCCGTGCAGGCCATGACGTCTCGCTCATTTCAACTCTACGGATTATATCCAGAAGCAATTCGGGTGGTAGATTTGCCCATTGCCCTTGCTCAATTGGTTCCGATTGGACAGCAACAGGGGCTATATGTGATAGTGTCCTACTTCTCCAATGCTTTCCATCAAACCCTCTCCTTGATGCACTCCCTATCCCATTTCTCATCTCCCTCACAGTGCTCTTGAACGACATCTCTACCAACTGAGCCCTTCCCTGTCAAATGACAAATCCAAAATATTGAATCGAGGAAATGAAAAGCACCTCATATCTAACCCTACAATAAAAAAGGTCAGATGTGAGTTTCTCAATATCAAATCTTAGATTTATTCTGATCAGTTTAGCCACACTATATCCAGCTTTTGAAAAGGACATCGAATCCGGACTTCAAATCAATTACAGGAACAGGAAGAAACATTTCCACAAGTAATAATCATAATATTTATAAAAAAAAACAAAATAAAAATGTGAAATAATCTCAGGCACCAAGGAAATCATGATAATGATAATACGGAGTATAAATCTGGAATCACTTTTTAAAAAAAATCGAACATTATAGCTGGAAATAAGAATCACGAACCTGAGCTGAGAATATGCAGAGATCGACGAGAAAACAGAAACACGACCAATGCAAAGCCGCGTCTTCCACCTCCGACTTGAACAAGCTTCGCGTTGATCTCCGTGTTTGGATTTTATATCGCCGTAACCGCCGCCACCGCCGTCGACCACCGACTGGAAAAGGGGACGCTTGATTCTCTCTATCTCTCTCAGAGCAATCGATTTCAATTTTCACGGCGGCACTCCGATCTCTTCCCCTCTCTCTCTCTCCTCCTCCTATTTAACCAATTGTGATTTCATCAGAAAATTACTCGCGGGTGAAGCGATTTTTGTTGAAATAACTTTCAGGTCTCTCTATTTTCAAAAAGACAATCGAGGTCCTTATATTTTGTTGTAATGACTGGGAGGTGACATTTCATCCAATACATCATCCGTAGGTGTTAATAAATGTATTTTTTTCCTATTTTTCCAATACCTTTTTTTCTTATTTTGCCATTACCTTGTTTTTTCTTTTTATAAATTTTTTTATTTCATTTGTTTTAATATAATACAAATAATTTTGAATTTTTATACGATTTTATAGAAGAAATTCTAAAATAACACTTTAAAAAATAGTAACAAAATGAAAAAAAAACAAAGAAATAAAAAAAAGAGCGATCTAATATTTATTACCTTAAAACATTTAGAAAAAGAATAAGAAAAAAATACATTTATTAACGTTTATAGATGAAATATTAGATGAAATGTCCCCTTTCAGTCATTACAACAAAATGTAAGGACCTCCGCTGTCTTCTTGAAAATAGAAGGACCTGAGAGTTATTTTAACAAAAGTCGCGTGACCCGCGAGTAATTTTCTGGTGATTTCATTATCCCTTTCCATTCCCATTTTCTCCAAACATTTCTGTCGTCTTTTCCTTTACTTTTTCTCCTTTATTTTTTTCTACGGGGTATTTTTTTAATTGGTACAGCAGCAATCAATGATCAGTTAAGCCAGGCCGAATCCAACTTTTGACCGTCTCATCAGAGGAAAAAAAAAGTACGGTAACTTTGTAGTGAAAAAAAGGTAATGTCTTGCTCCCTCCGTTCCCCTAAGATCTTTTCGTTTTGACTTTTTACAGTTTTTAAGGAGAGTTGAAAAAAGGTGAAAGTTTACCAAAATACTCTTAATGAAAATGGGTGGGGTGTATTAAATAAGGTGGAAAAGGTGTAATAAATAAAGTAAGTGGGGGTAGTTGTGGTATTTTAATTATTAAAAAAGGTAATGAGAAGATCTATGTGGGACAAATAAAAAGGGCTAATGAGAAGATCTATGGAGGACGGAGGGAGTATTTGCCATTTGGGAGGATGGTAGTTAGTAATGAAAAAAAAATCATCGCACTAAAATATAGAAAAACTATCAAAATACGAGTTCTATATTTTTATTCTTTAAATAAGAGCTCACATTGTGGTATTGTAGCATTGTATATGTACATTTTACGTAATGTTCATGGTCATGGTTGGTAATGTAAATGCATTTTAACTTTTATTTTGTGAATAAAAATATGAAGCTTTTATTTTGGTATATTTCCAATGTTTTATTCCTACTTTAGTGTTTTTCCCATGAAAAAATAGATGTCTCTCTATTTTTTACTTTCTTAGAAAGAACCTCTAAACTTTAATTTCTAATTTTAAAATCATTATTCATAAGCTAAAATAAATCCTCAATCATCTAAAACTTTATTTTAGTAAAGTAGGAGCTATACATTATTTTTCAAATACACTAGACAAACATCTTCTGAGATGGTGTTTAGGAGTGTGGTGAATTATTACATTGCCACATTCACACTATTATTATTACATTACCACATTCACCGCATTGCCACATTGTAACTGTCACACTACTACCGTCACACTGCCATTCGTCATCACTTGTCACTCGAGTGCCGTCGCGGATCACCGACGGTTGACTGATCACACTCAGATATTACAATATCATTACTTTTTTATCACAGTGGCAACACGTGCTCGTGCACTACACTGTCATTATACTCCTATAAAATGAATTGAAAATAACTCAAAAATTTACTTCGTTTAACGTAATGCTGCAATCTCAAAATTAATAATGTAAAATATGCCCGGTCTCAATTTATTTTGTCTAGTAGATTTTTCATGATCAATATTTATAAACTTAAACGATTTTTTAGAATTTTATGGATAATGTACCTCTACTTATAAGAGCACTGGTAATGGTCATGAAGTCCCGGGGCTTCAAACCGGGGCTTCAAAATTTCTCTCTCTGCCACATCAGCTTTAACTTACACCCAAAATTCACTGGAAATGGTTTTGAAGCCCCGGGGCTTCAAACTGGGGCTTCAAACCTTCATTTTTTACATTTTTAAATATACATCTTCTAAATTTAAATTTATAAATTCAAATTAATTTATTATTTAATTAAATTGAAAAACGAATAATAAAAAAAATACATTAATTCAATAAAAAAAGCGACAATAAATTTTAAAAAAAAAGATACATTAATAAAAAAACTAAGGTAAATTATATTTCTCCTTGAGTTCTCTCATTCTTTGCTCGTAGAGAATTCGTCCAAACTCCGATAACGTCCCGGGGTCGGTTTGCATGACTTTCATCTCGGCCTCTTGCTCCTTTATCTTCAACTCCTTCTCCTTTAGCTTCAACCTCTCCTGTTCCTGGAGATTGAACGCCCGAAGTTGTTCAACCATTGCCAGGCCGATTTCGTCGCGGGGAGAAGCGGAAAAAGAGGCAGACCCTCCCGAACCAGAGGCAATGGATTTTGCCTTCTTTCTTCCGATCGGCCGTGGAATGGGGTCTTCGTCATCGGAATCCGCAACGTTGAAGGGAGGGATTTGATCGGTAGAACCGATAGTCTCGTCAACCTCAACCTGGGCGTCGACGGTGGATCTTTTCCGGAATGATCCGCCGTCGG